ACCTGGTGTACCTTAAAGTATCACCTTTCTTTAAAAAATTACATTATCTCTCTTTCAGAATAAATACCGCTGGATAATTCACAACGAGTTCCCGTAAAAGCGAAAGGACAAATGCATTGGAAATAGCCACCGGAAAGATTTTGACAAGAGCCACCATTAAAACAAGGATTATTTTGACAAGCATTAGAACCAGTTCCACCTGGTGTACCTTAAAGTATCACCTTTCTTTAAAAAATTACATTATCTCTCTTTCAGAATAAATACCGCTGGATAATTCACAACGAGTTCCCGTAAAAGCGAAAGGACAAATACATTGGAAATAACCACCGGAAAGATTTCGACAAGAGCCGCCATTAAAACAAGGATTATTTTGGCAAGCATTAGAGCCAGTTCCACCTGGTGTACCTTAACATATCACCTTTCTTTATAAAATTACATCATTACTCTTTCAGAATAAATACCGCTGGAGAATTCACAACGAGTTCCTGTAAAACCAGGGCCACATATACAACGAAAACCTCCACCCGGTACAACAGCACAGGATCCACCATTAAAACAAGGATTATTTTGGCAAACATTAGAACCAGTTCCACCAGGTGTACCTTAAAGTATCATTTTCTTCTATAAAAATTACATCATTACTCTTTCGGGATGAATACCGCTGGGTGCTTCACAACGAGCACCTGTAAAACCAGGACCACATATACAACGAAAACCTCCACCCGACACAACAGCACAGGATCCACCATTAAAGCAAGGACTATTTTGGCAAGCATTAGAACTAAGTGTTCCTTTAAAAAAGTTAGGTTTTAGGAGACACTTCTTAAAATATACTAATCTCTAAACAGTTACCTATAGGCTGTTCACAAAAGAGGCCTGTAAAACTTGAAGGACAGCTACAACGAATACTTCCACCAGCTAGGTTTGTACATGATCCACCGTTTCTACATGGATTAGGAAGACAATTATTTGATGTACCTTCGAAAGAGTTTGACATAGTTTTCTTTTAAATAAACAATACAGAAACTAATACCACCACTAGGATAATCGCAAAGATTTCCTGTAAAACCTGTACTACATGTACATACGAAACCACCTGCTGGTATCGATAAACATGTTCCACTGTTTTTACATGGATTTGGAAAATTGCTGCAATAATTATTTATCATTTCTAAACAATAAAAGTATAAAGTAATGCTTAAAATTACAAAGAAGATTTAGTTGATTACTTGTTCCGGCATCAATTAGTTGTGTATGAACAATAATAAAAATATTCATAACAAAAAGAACACTGTAAAACGTCTTCATCGTAGTTGCTTACTTGTATTCAAATGGTATATGTCAATGGATTATATCATAGATTTATATGTGTATGTCAGGGAATAGGAAGCTTTTATTCTCAGCGACGTATATTTATAGTTACTTAAAAGAATACATCACCTTTTGTCTCATGAAAAACATCAAAACATTGTTTTTTTGCATAACAAGATCGAAAATAGTATGGGGGCGTTTGTTTTTCATGATTTTTAGATTAGTCATAAAAAACTTAGTCAACTTGAATTCTTTGAAATAAAATATTTCTAAATAAAACCTATTATATTGATTTCATTGAATATCTTTAACTTTATTGTTTATGTAATTATCTTGAAAATAAGAAGAACTTCTCCGTTGATCAAAAGAAAAATGAAAATCTAAAAATTTTCACATCTTATTCAAAGATTCATTCTTTATTACTGCTGTTATCTAATGACGTTTACCAAAAAGATGGATCGGACCTCGATATGATATATAAATTCATCGATATCGAGGCCACGTGCAGTAAAATATCTTGTTATATATACGTATGTATATATATATGTATTCATTGTCTAGTTCGGTGCGGAGGTTCGAAAACACAATAATAGACAAAAGATTTGTTTTTATCATCTTCTTTATCTCTCGTTCTATCTATCTCGTTTCTTTCGATCGTTATTTCCATCGTTCATTTGTCAGATCGAACATATATATATAACACGCATTTAAGAATATAACATAAAGGTATATCGTCGTTTTATCTCTTAAGTACATATCGTGTTGAAAAAATTCGATTTTAATGGATACTCTTGGACCTCGCATAATGGTAAATGTTGGCACTCAAGCTGTTACAAACACAGGGCTTAATCCACGAGATTTAGCTCCATTAACAAACGATGCATTTCTTGCTACATTTATGGGTAAACCAGCCTTATCAGCAAATAATGGAATATCAAGACAACATAATAATAATCGTCAATCATATACAACACAAATGGAACGTGTAACGCTTCGTTCAAAAGGACGACCATCAACAACGAATGGTGAATCCATTGAACCAGATTCAGCTATTTTATCAATTATTCGTGGTAGTGGACTAGAGAACAAGCAACAAGTAAGAATTCGAATAATTATAATGTTTTTTTTCTTTTTGCAAAGTAAATTTTATTCTATTAGCAAACATCTCAACGACAATTACAAGGTAATCGTAATCGTCGTGGATTTCATCAACAACAATATTATGCTGGTTGGAACGATATACCTTGTTCACCAAATTATCGGCCAACAAGCGATTCGAATCGTCAACGTCGTACACGTTCTGGTGGTGCACAACAACAAATAACTGTTGTTGACCAAATGGCTGCACAACCACATATTCCTTATGCTATTTTACCAAAACGTTTTGAACCTAAACAAGTATCGACAAATGGTTTTCAACAACGATCACGTTCATCAAATAATAATGCTAATCAAAAACGTCGTCCAGCTGCTGTTGCTGTTGCTGCTCCTCCTCGACGACCACAACGGCAACAAACTTATTTTGATGATCAATGGGAAGATGTTGAAGATGATCAACGTCGACGATTCAATCAACGACCGAATCGAAATTTTGGTCAAGCCAATGCATATCGTGGGCCACGTGTAATTATAGAAAACAAAAATTGTGTTTATTGACTATAAACAAAATGTCTTTGTTGTTTTTTCAATACATTTTAGCAACATTTTAATAATTATTATGATTCATATTCCTATGGTCCAATGAGTCGACAAGATCAAATGCCAGTTCGTCCACGTCGTCGTATGATGTATCAAGATGATGGTTATGTTCCATTTGATATAACACCATCCTATGATCTTAATGAATGGCAAGGCCCATATGCTCGATCACGACAAGCGTTATATTCGCAACAACAACGAGGTGGATTCCGGTAAACAAAAAAATAAAAATAAAAGACTTGATGGTATATTTCAAAATTTTTCTTTAAAATATAAGTTACGGAAATGGTTTTATTCGTGATGATCATCGTATAAATAATTCAACCAAACAATCACGAAATAATAATAAAGCAACAACACCAACACAACATCGTAAACAAACAAAATCACCAAAAAATAAAGGATCGCAAAAACGTCGAACTTCACGACCACGTAAACAACGAAATCAAAATTCCAAGAGTGATGGTAAAACTAAAACGTTTTTTTTAGAAGAAAATTTTTAACTATATTTTTTTCATGTTCTTTTTATTTCAAGGAACAGCGTCAACAAATGCCAATGAAGTTAAATCAACAAGCGAAACAGAAACTACACAAGAAGAAAAATCAAAAGAAGAAACAACGATTGAAACTGGAGAAAAACCATTACCACCACGTGATACTGATAAGAAAGAACCAGAAGTTGAAAAATCAACAGAATAAAAACAATCAAACTTTTTCTTTTGTTTTTCCCATATTTTTATTTTATCTTTCTGGTTGATCTTATAGACATTTAAAAAAAGTCTTTATCTATCGTTTTTTATTACTACTGTTTGTTTTTGTTTGGCTTTTATTGTCATTTCATAGTGATATTATGTATATGTGCGTCTGTATTTATTTCTTGGCTTTCTTTATTGTTAGAAGCCTGACTTAATGCGCGACACATATCTGCTTCATGTTTTTTTTTGCTCGTATTTTCTTTTATATTATTACGATTAAAACCAGTACACAAACGTAAACATCTCTTTTGCAATTCGAATGGCGATCAACTTTCAAGTGTTCGAAAAGAAAATGCTGAACTATTAAGACAAAGATAATTTTATTTCTTAAAATTGATTTTAAAAAGCAATATATAAGGAGTTTCTGTATAATGCTCAAAGAAAAAGGATTCATTTAACCACGTCGTTTATCATTTTGTGTTGCTGCACGCCATTGGTCCCATTCCTAATTAGAAAATACATCAATTTTACAAAATAAAATAATCTTCTTCTTTCTCTTACTTCAAGTTTTGGGCACCATCGTTGAAGACCAGTTACTTTATTGATACCCAAAGCACGTTCACATCTAAATATACAATACAGTCAAATCATTGAAAGAAAGCTGCTAATCTTTTTCTATATGTACCGTTCTTCATATTTTTCTTTTGCTTCTCGGCGTTGTTCACGAGGAAATGGGATACCAAAAAGACGTTTTTGTAAAAATTGTCGTGCATCATTAGCTTCTAAACAAGTTCATAATTCTATAAATCATCATATCGAATAAGGAAAATTAGTCACATACCATATTCACTATCATCGATTTCATCATCAGCACGAGCCAGATGAACGACAGCAAAAATAAATACAGCGCAAAGCGTTAAGGCCAAGAATTTGTTCATATTGAAAATTTCACGAAATAAAAAATATGTATTGAAATGGATACTTTTTGTTTTATTAATACGCAGACAATTTGTATGGCGTCTCGTCGAGAAATAGTATTATATGTATGGAAAGATTTCTGTATATTTTTTTCTTTTTCTTCATCTAATAGAAATTATTTATATCCTACAGTATTTCTCGTTTGTCTTAATGTGCTGATAACTATTCATCAAATCGAGAAGATGAATGATACAGATACCGATAGGGATATTATACGAGTTTGTCAACACTCATATTAATCGACACTTCTCTTCGCCTCCTAGGATAATATGAATAATCATCAGTTAGAATTTCTTTTCTTTTTTTTTCGAGTAATTATAAAAAAAAAAGGACGACGATCTCCATAGTATTTTCTTTTCTAGATAGATCAAGACCGATTGCGATAAACGACTTTCGAGGTAGATACAAGATATTTTTCTCCTGGAAAAATTTATTTCTTCAATTGTTTTTCTACATAGAAAATGAGCAAATTTTCAATTCTTGCTTTGGTGTTGATGGGCTCTTTGGCTATGCATTGCGCCGGCGCACAAGGTGATAACCAAGAAGATTTCGAAGAAGGTAAGCTTTTAATGGTTTCTTGCATGTTTTTTTCAATCGAACGAGTGCATCGTTTGTAAATTGTGAATTAATTTCGATTCACTATCATAAATTCATAATCAAAATCCAATTAAACCCTTCAATCCTTGAAAATTACGGAACGATAAGATTTACTCTGTTTTTCAAGATATCATTAGTAATGTAATCCCAGTAAAAAACATAAGTTCGGTCGTTGTTTAAAATGAATAGAACAAATATTATTTATAAGAAATTGATAGAACAGTTCGTTTTGATAGGAATACTTTGGGCTGATCATGATGATAATGAAAACTACGCATGGAATCCGAATTATTGGTGTGATTTCAGCTAGTACTAGTGGAAAAAATAGTGTCATTGATAAGAAATGACAGCTCTTTTTTTGACACATATAAATAAATTTCTTATCTTACATATGTTGATATGTATCAATTTGCCAGCTGTATACTATTGCGAGTGTCTTATTCACGATATACGTAAACATCGGTTTTGCTTTTGTGCATACTCTTTCCTAGTGTATTACATTTATCTACTATAGACCGTTCGGAAGCTCTTGAATTTCTTCGACGAACAATTTTTCATCCTACTTTAACTAAATGTGAAGAACAAAAACGTGAAGCTAAAGAGGATTAGTAAGTATTGATATTTGATTCATTGAGAGATTCAATGTATTTTGAATGTAAATCATTTTACTTTCTAAAGTGAAGAACGATGTGAACCAAGCAATCCAATCTATCGTAATAAAGGTACGCAACGTAATTGTCCTGATTTGAGTGGTTGGGATGCTTTTAAAAATTACGAAATCAATGATGGTATTCCGACATTTGATGATCTTAAACCAAATATTAAATTACCTCAAATGCCAAAACTACCAACAGCTGATGAAGTGAGCAATTCAGTTTATAATAAGATTACCGGAATTAAAAAACGAGCAATTTATTCAGAATAAGATTAAAATGACATTTGAATTTATGCTTTTTAAAGTCTATTTGTATTCTTTTCAATAAATAAATAAAACAATTTAATGATTTATTTCTCGACTTCAAGTTATTTCATTGCAAAAAAAATCTTCATCATACTTAGAGAATAAACTTCGCTAGATAGAAAAAATCTGCTGCATACCGATCCTTTTTTCCAAAGTGAATACTCATAGGTCAACTTCAATAAATAAAATAAAAAGTCACATTATGGAAAAACTTCAAACGAGACAAGGCACCGAGACCGCTAATCATTTTATCAAAGCAATCATCAATGTCCGCTTATAATTCGTTCTCTTTTTTCCGTAGCTTCAAAATGAAATAGAACTGGAACGGTATGCGATAAAAATTCTCGCGTTCATACATATGTATAGATCAGCTCGAAAAATGTAAAGTCATGAAGAAAAATTAACTTGAAACTATTTACGAAAATAAATTAGTTGTATAACGATCGACTGCATATCAATGTTTTGCAGTTGAATGCAAGGCGTCAGCTTGATCAATCTTAGGAACAGTTTCACATCAAAACTAAAATCATCGCCTTTGATAGTATTTCTTTATCATTCATGCGACCTTCGTTGCAATGATGATATTCCCTGATGATGATATCAATGAAAGTATATCGAATTTGGGTTCGTCATCATTAGCATCATCATCGCTGACTACGTTCATGGATGATTTTCGTTTTCCACAACAAAACATTTCCTCAACAGAAGATCCATATTCTCAACAATATTATCAAATCTATTCGAACTGGTCTGAAACAACATCGACCAATCTTGCAATTAGTTCATCTGTTCAAAATCCAAACATACCTACAACAAATCGTAATGTTAAAATTAAAGCTAAACGACGTCGTATCGCTAGTGTATCTCAACGTCGTGCAGCCAATGTTCGTGAACGTAAACGTATGTTTAGTTTAAATGAAGCATTCGATCAATTGCGTGAAATAGTTCCTATATTTGCATATGAAAAAAAATTATCACGCATTGAAACTCTTCGTCTTGCAATAATTTATATTGCATTTATGACTGAACTTGTACTTAGTGGTAAAACAGTTGAGGAAGCTTCGTTGAATGCAGATGTTGTTTTAAACCAATGGACAGATACATGTACTTATCAAATGAATTCATCATCGATCTGCGATGATACGCCAACAAGTTCCGGAAGTGTTGTTATTGAATAGAAATTCGCTTAATCAATTTTCTATCCTTACGGCTATGTTTATTTTGCTCACCTTTTTTGTTTCTACTCTTCTTCTGTCGTTAACATTCTTATTGATTAAAAAAAAAACGAATATAATATCTCACACGTGTGTATATGTGCACTGAAGCGTTTTCTGTTAAGCCTGCTGTGACTTGTTGTTTAAAGCATTTTTCATGATGAGAAAGAAATGATATGCTACTCAATGCCGCGCACATAAACCCTTGAATTAATTGACCAGGAAAAATTCGATTTTTGTTTAAAAATAAAAGATCAAAAGAAAAGTTCAAAAATCATTTATCGATACAGGTGTGTTCTTCTACTGGCATTAAATTGATGCTCATGCTTGACCATTCTGTTTAGTTAACCGTATCCAGACATTTCTTTTTTTTTTCTTATCATTAGATCATTTTATTTTTATGTCTAAAGCTATTTGTCAAATAAAGAGATGCACTGCTGATGCCATCGAATCGATTTTTTTTATCAAATAACAAGCTGTGACCCATTATCATTGTGCTTTTCTTTTGAATAGATCCATCCGACAGAGAAGAATGAATACATAAAAAAAAAAAAGAAATCTTAATATCAAATGAGAAAATCAACATATACATTGGCTGAAATTTTCTCGCTCAGGTAAATTTATCCAATAGGAAGTGAATCGGATAGTGATCGATTTTTTTCCTGTCCAATCAACCCATTCACCTTTTTCTTTGAGAAATCACGCACTTCGCTTCCTACAACGATCATACACAGCTAAGGTAACAACTGGACGAATATCATATTACTTGATGATGCCTTTTCTTTTATTATCATCGTAGAGCGCAACAGATTTTTTGAGTGCTTAAGAACAAACTGATGCCGTATAATCATAAAAAATTTTTGAGAAAAAAATTTTTAGATTAATCTTGATAAATAATCTTGTCTATTGTTTTATTTTTGTTTAATCTTTTAGCTCGATCAAAAAATAAAGAAACAAATTCTGGCTTATTATCCGCAATACGAGGACCTAGGTCCAGTTTCTTCAACTTCACTTCCGTCAGTTACTTATCAATATCCAACAGTTTATTCAAATTCGAACACATGGTTTAATGGAATATCTGAAAATGAACATCATCATGTATCATCATCTCCGAATAATTTTCTAACAACATATAATATAAATAATGGAGATATGAATTCTGATGTTTATCGTTTGCCAGTTGATAATGGAAATTCAAATTCATTCTACGTACCTTATCAAACAACAGTAGTTAATTCTGATAATGATGAAAATGATTTAGACGATGGCTCCGACGATGACGATGATGATGATGATGACGATGATACAGATTCAACATATCATTCAACAAAACGAATAAATAATAATAATTCAGCCAATAATAAAATGTCAGGCACAGATCAACGTCGTTCAACACGTCCAAATGGATCAAAACGAAAACGTAAACGAGTTTTAAATGGTGTTCAACGTGCCGAGGCCACACAACGTGAAAAACGACGTATGCTGAAACTTAATCGAGCATTTGAAGAGTTAAGAAACGTTTTACCAGTAACTGAATTCGCACGAAATAAATTATCACGTTCAGAAACACTTAAATCAGCTATTGATTATATTAATCTTATGTTTGATATGCTTGATGCTGCAAAAGGTCATCATCATTCATCATCTTGCTTATAATCATGTACTTGTATTTTGTCAAATAAAAAAAAAGCAATCTTAATTCTATATTCATCGAAATTTTCTATCATAATTATTGTCGTTTTTAATAAATTTAAAGCTTTTTTTTGTCTTGACTAAAATGCAAATCATAGCTAAAGAATTTTTTACAACCGTAGAGAATTTAGATTGTAATTTATATAAATTTAAAAGAAATCATTTAAAATAAAAAATATATGTTTTATTCACCGATTTCTAAAATAGATGAAATCTCAGTGTTCATCCTAACAAAAAAAAAAGAAAAATCATCAATGCAAAATGACACAGTTGATAACATTATAAATATTTTTTAATTAATATTGTGATCAAGCATCTCTTATTTTCTCTTCATCGAAATATTTCATCGTTCACACATATGTATAATAGACTCACCTATCTCAAGTATGCCAATACAAGACCCTACTCTAACCAATTGAATATACATTTATAGACAACTATCCATGTCTTTTCTCGTGGCAGCTGCCAGTGTGATCAACTTATCTGGTCGAATATTATTTAGGTAGTACTACTGTACAAATGAACTAAATTGAACAATTGGTCTCCACTTAATATCAACTTGACACGTATATCGAGACGACTCAGTTAGCTCATATTCAAAAGCAAAAAGAGAGAATAGGACGGAGGAGAAAAAACACGTATAGATGTGCATTTAAGTATGTCTTCGTGGAACAATGAGCCGTGAGATATACTTATCAGGTCTATTGAAAAAGAAGACACCTTGATATATAATAGAATTCTACTATGTTCATAGTACAACTTCATATTAATAGTAATGTGCGGTCTGTCGATGTATCGATTTGCTGCTAATTTTACATTATTTTCCTTTTATTGGGTAGTTTTTTCATTTGCTTCAAACTTATTTGAAAAATATTGTGATGAAAGAGAAAACACAAAATAGATGCATTTTCTATTAGAATTATGAATTCAAATTATATTGTGTAAAAATTTCCCTCTTATAATAAAATATCTATGTATTATCAGGGAAAATATGATTTTTCTAATATTGAACATGAAAATGCCTGTAAAACCAGATCCATGGCATATCTCATTAATACGTCAATAATTTCTGCATGAGACATATTGGATAACACAATAAATTTAAGAAATAGCTGATGACATGTTTTTAAATGCCTCAATTCGCCATAAATGAAAAATTTTCAGTTAAGAATAGTAAAAGTATTACAAAAAGCTTTCAAAAATAATCTCTCCTATGTAAATATTAAAATCTTGAATACTGCAACAAATTTTCTCTATATATATGAAAATCTCAAAAATGATTTTTCCTCACCCTATCAATATGACAAGACGTGCACAAAATAGGTAAAATTTTCTTCTGGAAATTATTTCATCAAATCTACGTGATCAACAAGCAACGAGAGATAGCAGAATTATTCTTGTAAAGTTCGTATATCTGTAAAAATAACAATGTTTATGAAACTAAGATTTGCTGATGAAGATACTTGTTGACTTCGTTTTTCTTTAATAATATAAAACATCTGAAAGTTCTTTTTACACCAATCTATAATTAAGGACATTCATGGAAGCGTTGCCATTCCAACAAAATTACTTGTCTCTTAATAGCTGTTGGAGATCTCTTTTGAAAGATAAATAGTATGAAGTCCTAAATAAGTCAAGAAGGTTAGAGTGACTGTTAACAAATACAAAAGTAAATCAAAAGTAGATTGTACAATACAGGAAACTTCTAGTAAGTAGAATTATTTTTATACTGTCATTTCAAGGTTAACATCGATTGAATGAAAAGAACAAAGCTGGAAAACAGGCTAGCGTAATTAGCAGATAAAGCAATTTCTTGGTGAAAATTAGTTATCAAACATCTGAATTAATGTAGTAGTGATATGAAAAGGTGACACTCTAATCAATATGATAGATTAACGCAAGAGAACACGAGCGTGACTCTATTGAAAATGAAATGTAGTATAAAAAAAGGTAGCAGGCCAGAGACGTGAGCAGGGCAGGACGGTCCTGCTGTCCTGTGCTGCCGCTCGCCAGGACGAAGGTAGTCAACAGGACAGGCAATGACAGGAGAAAAAATGATGTCCTGTGTACGTCTCTGGTAGGAACTTGTTTTTGTATTTTCCGCTTTTTATTTTGTAGTAAAACACTGCCTATTTGCTGTTGTTTCTTTAAATAGTATCATATATTTAGGTTATCATATTCATGCTACAATCAATCTTGTTCATATTTTTTCTTGTCGCGAAAGTTAAGATATTTTTCTATTTTATTGTACTCTTAAATTAGTGCTAATTTAAAGTGTATTTGTTGTATTTGAAAATGGTGTCAAATAAATTAAGCCTAAGATTACTAATACTAACATTTACTTTGATCGAGAACAACTAGCCCAGGTCGATCGAAACGGACCGCCGTAAACCGGCGTAACATTACCGTAAACGGTCGTTTTTCCATCGTATTCCGTCGTAAAACAGCCGTTTTAAACCGAATTTAGGCGTTTTAACAGGGGCAATATTACGGTCATATACGGACACCGTATATCAGCCGTAAAACCTCGTAAAGCCGGCGTAATATTATCGTATTCTATGGAACATACGGTCGTATTACTGCCCCTGCCATACGGGGAAAATACGGCACGCAAAACGGGCCGTATTTGTATCGTATACGACCGTTTACTGATCGTTTTCTTCGACCGGGGAGGGTTTGGAGTCCGAACTTCGGACTCATACCAAGATCGATCGTTCCGATCACCGGATACTGTAGGAACCCACCGGAAAGATGCGGAAAAATCACCGTATTCCGGACGAAAACACGGAAAGTCGCTGGAACGTGGAAGCCGTATTCCGGTCGGAATATTTTCGGAGTTTTTCCCGATGATTTACTGTCGGTTCCCACTGGAAAGCACTGGAATTTGACCGAAATCTACCGGAAAAAATCCAGGAATTGACGACCGGAATACTACTTCCACCTTCCAGCGATTTTCCGCGTTTTCCGGTCGTTTCCTGCCGTACCACCACGATCTGGGTAATTAGTTTTCAGTCACTAGAAAAATGGTAATAAATCAGTAACGCTAACCAGGACATGGCTTTAACGTATTGTCCTGCCGCCTGCCAGGACGAAGTTAGCCAACAAGACAGGAGAAAAAATTATGTTCTGTGCACGTCTCTGGTAGCAGACATCTTTTAAAGTAATTCTTTCATTATCTGATTGAATTTCCAGAAATTACTCTATCTATTTCCATATAGTAATGTCCCTCTCGTAATAAAAGAACTCAGGAGAAAAAGGATTTCGAGTATCTATTAGCATTCTATAGAAAATACTATTTTGAAGTATTATTACTTTTTATCTTTACTTTCGGGAAATTATCTCGCTGCATTGTTGTAGTTTTATTCTGAAGAAACAGAAAACAAGGCAAATATGATACTATTGTACTCTCTGACTTCGTTGAACATATTTTTAGGGCGATCTCAATTTTGTAAGAAAACAGCAAAGTTAATAGAGCATATAAAAGAATACATTATTACTCTTTGCTAATCTTATTGTTAGATTTTATCGCCTTCGATGGTGCATTAGACTCTTTTGTATAGTGGAGTTAATTAAACTACAGTTTATCAATGGTCTCGTTCATTATATTGCAAGGTCAATTCCACGCTTCTTCTTCGCTACTATTTATTTTTAAAGCACAATTAAGGGTTTTTTTTACATAAATTATGTAGTTCTAAATATGGTGGAATTAACAATCCAAAACGTTTTCGTTATGATCCACACTATAAAATAGACTTCTCTGTTTGAAATAGAAGCCAAAGAAAAATCTTACTAATATATGATAAATTTACATCAGAACATGACCTATTTAATATCACATATTTGTAATTAAAACACGATGAACAATGAAAAGAATGTTCAACAAGACAAAGTTTCTTTTCAATGATGCCTTTCGTTTTATGGCGCAACATCATGTCTAGACAATACACATCCTTGATGAACAAGGTTGTAGACCGAAACTTGTAAAGAATTTTTCTTTAATTTCAAATATCTATTGATTGAGATGCTATTGACATTTGCCTATTTATAGAATACTTTATCGCAACTATTTCTAAGTATGGTTACGAATATTTGCATTGCAATAACCATATATGTGCCTTATAAATATCTTTGCATACATACAAGAAATCAAAGTTTAATCACTAATCCTTTTGAATCAGCTATTCATAAACTTCCGTATTTCTAAACTGAGAAAAATATCGCCACATGGGCAACATCCGGCTAGAAAATATTGAAAATTTTGAATAATTACGTAGTCGAAACTCCATTTGAGACTAAATCCAGCAAAGTAATTACATTGCTCTATTTCTATGTTAAATCTTGAAATTATATTTTCCAAAAGAAAAGATCTGGTTTGATTTTATTTTTTCGTATGCATATATATATTTATATGTTATTGTCGTGTTCTTCTTCTCTTACTAAGTAGACGAAGACATAATACAAAGAACATTCATATGACGAGATAATGGTCATTATAATAATAATATATATATATATACTTATAAAAAAGAACGAACATAAAGGACAACGTAAAGACAGAGAGAAGAAGAAAGGCCGACAAAAAAAAAGAAAGTAAACAGTTGGCACACAACGATATTGATCAATGAAGAAAAAAAAATAAACTGAGGAAACCGAACGAAGAGAAAAAGAAATAATCAATAACAACAGATAACAAATGAGATAATACAAATGAAAGAAAAGAAACTGAGTCAGAAATATGTATATATATATATATACACCTATAGACATTAGACAAACATTTTAAAAAAACATATATAATTAAAGAAAGGAAAAAAAGGAGAAGAAACACACACACAATTTCAAATACACTATGAACAGATCGTCGTACGATCAAAATCGAGCATAATCACTTTTGTATCTTCAGTGCTATTACGACTTCCAGCTGCACATACCAACGCGGAATCTGTACATTTTATACGCCACACAACACCTATAAATAAAATAAATATCATATCAAGTTAAGATAAAAACAAAATAGTGAGAAGAATGTGCCGTTAGCAGCTACATAGAGAATGAATTCATACATAATTTTGTTTAATAAGATATTGAAAAGACAACAACAACACTAAATTCATAGGGTTTAACTTGTTTTTTTTTCCCCATTGAATCAAGCGCACGTAGTCTGATGAAATTGTCAAAACCCGTTTTTTTAAATATTCTTCTACTTGAATTTTCTACCAACGAAATAATGCTATATTCCATGGTACAGTCGATAAGGGCATTTTTCTTTTGTTAGGCAAATAGGATATACGTCAGTGGTTTGAGGCCAATATTCATTTATAGTCAGATCATATCTCAAAAGATCTATTTCTGAGGATTCCTTAACTTAACGATCATCCATCAATCTTGTGCAAATCCAAATCAAACATTTCTTATCAAATTAATATTCAAAATGCTTTCACATAATTTTGGAATTTATTTCAATAATTCTAAAATTTATGAATTCTCTTATGTTTCCCTTCGAGACACACATCAACTAGTTTTCCTTATAATTCATGCAATAGTATTCATATTCTTACCTCCATTTCCAGCTGATTCAAGTCTAACGAGATCTCGAATAAAATCTCCTGTTTCCAAATCCCATAATTTAACCGTTCCATCATCTCCTGAACTAACAACATAATTAAGTACAACTTGAACCCAAGTTACGGCAGATGCATGTTTATTACGTCCTATTTAAAAGAAAAGAAAACAGAATTTGGTTTTGTAAAATTAATCATTGAATTAAAAATTCTTCTAACCAGCTAGCGTATGCAAACATTTTCCGGATTCAATATTCCAAATTTTTACAGTTGAATCGGCATTACCAGAAACAAGAATATTTCCACGTAATTGCATTCCACTTGTTAATGATAAATGACCAGTTAATTGATGTATACATGTACCTTGCTCAACGTCCCATACACGTATCATACAATCTAATGAGCCAGATACAATATGTTTACCATCGAACTAAATTTAGCATAAAGCACAATTGATTGCTTTGTTTTCACAATGATATTAATATACATACGACAAGTGAATATACTCGATTTGTATGTCCTTCCAGTGTGTGTACGCATCGTTCTTGATCAGGTAGCCATACGCGAATGGTATGATCATAGGCACCTGATACAACATATTTTCCATTATAACAAACACATCGAACAGCTGCTGTGTGACCACTTAGCATATGAAGACGTTCACCTGTACGGATATTCCACACACTAAAATATAAACAGACTATTTTATTATTAACTAAAAGAATCTTACACTCGATAGCGAACTAGTTGAAACTCGTATCCATAAAATACTATTTTTAAAACTTGGTAATAATCAAAAACAAAACTCTATACAAGTCACTAAATATGGGTTGTCTCGAATCATTCATACAATAACATACATCTCCTATTGTAATTTGTTCGGTTGTATACTAGAATTCTATTCCAAGTTGCATAACTCGACATTTATTGATATTAAAAATCAAGAATATTCTTTTTCTTTTGTTAAAATTGAACCTTGCCGTTTCTGTATACATACCGTACAGTTGCATCCCGTGATCCAGACACAACAATATCATCATGTAATGCCAAGCAACGTACGGTTGACGTATGTCCATAGAGAACATGTTGGCATGCACCTGTATTTATGTTCCATACACGAATTGTTCGATCTGTACTTCCACTAACTATTAAATCATCTGTCATTTCACTGCACCATACACCACCATTATGTCCTATCAATGTTTGTTCGCACTAAAAGCAAAGTTTCAAATAGAATCATTTGAAAATACATTTAAAAATCGAGAAAATAATTACTTGTCCAGTAGCGATCGACCAAATTTTTAATGAATTATCATCAGAACCTGATACAATACGTTTCCCATCAAATTGTAAACAAGTGATAACAAAATCTTCGTGACCACGCAATGTAAGTGGGTCAGGCAATGGCTGTCCATGCTGCCAAACATACTCTAAATGTTTATGACATGCATATGAACGTTTCCATGAATTATCTATGGTGTCATCAAATATCGTTGGTAATTGTTTTAATGGAATATATTTTGTTTGACATATACGTTTCCATAGTAAGATATCATTGCATGTTTCGTACCAAGCACGACATGTACGTGATGCTCGTCCAACATCACCTGCTGGTAAATATCTCAATACATGAAGTGCTAATTCACGTGGAAGATCACGAATAAAATCACGTTGAAAATAAGGTTCAATTTGATTTCGAATATGATTTAATTGAAGTGTATTCGATGAGCATGTGCGTATGAGTGCTTCAGTTGCACGGCTACGATCTTCATTTGACATAGCGCAAAAAGTTGATAGCCAATTGATTACATCTGCAGATAGTGGCGGTGATGTTGAATTCGATAGAAAATCAGTAGAATTTAAAGAAGACGGTGACAGTGACGAATTTATACTAATTGGCGTAATTGATTTCAGATCAGTCTGTTCGCGAAAATTACTAGAAAAGTACGAAAGTAAAAAAATGTTTTCTTCTGTTTAATATGATTCTATAATAGGTCGATGTAAAATGTGACTTGTACATGAAAAACTTGAGTATTATAGCTCATTAGCATTTAAGTGACACTCCTGTTGATCTTTATCGGTTATTAAGCTATATGAATGTAAAGAGAGCATCTAAATGACGTATTTCTTTTTAATCGAGCAACTACCATGGTAAGTGCATTTTTTTCTTTTCTTTTCTGATCTCGATACATAATTTATACTACGCGTTAAGCCATCGGCTCATTTTCTTTATCGTAAATAGTTTTTACATAAATAATCTATGCATATTTTAATGTGGCCTATTTTTCGTTTCTTACCTGTTACAAAGACGTTTTGGATCATTAGTAGTAATAAGTGATTCTTCAACTGTTAATTGTCTTTTGCCAGGTGATCGTGGTGGCTGTTGTGATATTAAACCGGTATAATCAAGAAATATCTGATTTGTTGTAACACAATCATTAACAATCTGATCTATTAATGATGGTGAACTTGATCGATCTGGTGATGATAATAAACCTACAGAATCTGATGACATATCTAGAATGGTTAAAACCTCCAAGTCAGCACCTCTAGATTTTACATATAAATGGAGAAACCAAAAAAAAACATTTAAGTTAAATTTTGTTTTTGAAATCTACAGTGACCAAAGATACAATGCAAAAAAGAAAGAAATAAAGACACGCCTTTGATTGTAAGACAAAAAGCATTAACATATGTCATATTTAAATCACAGTTTATGTTTAATCGCTTTCATTGTAATAATTATCATCATCGTCTTCGCCCATATCAGCCATTTGATCATCATCATCCTTTTATTCAAAAAAGAAAAAGAAACCATAACCACTCGATTATATTTTAATTATTCAATTTAATAAAAATCAAAATTAGTACATACATCAATTCCTGCATCATCATCATTTTCATGTGATGAAGTACCAAAAATTGATTTTTTTCCATTTCTATTTCCAGTTGCACCAGCACGTGATGGTGCTACATAATCATCAAGTGTTTTCGGTATTGATACACCTTCTTTTTCGGCAATCAATTTCGATTCATTAACTTGTCTTCGTATTATTGTTTCGTATTCGCCATCTTTCTGTTCTTTGTACTTTCGATACATCACGCTTGAAGGCAAAAAAAAAGAAAGTCGAAGGTTAATATAATAATACATTTGAAATATTTTACCTTGCATCGACATTAGCAGGTGATGAACAATTTGGTTCATTTAGTAAACTTATTATTGACATTAGAATTGTTCGAACATTTTGAGCCGGATTCCACCGTTCACTTGGATGTTCACCTGACTGAGGATCTTCGGTTGGAGGATGTAGAATTGAAATGCATACTTCACCATTTCTACAAACGAAAAAGCAATGAAATTAAAAAAGTAAAACGATTGTATTTTTTTTTCTTATGATTAATTTACTCATAAATATTTGGATGCCACATTTTCGTTAGAAAACGAACCTAAATCAAAAGGATAAATATGTATTTCAAACAAAAAAAAATTTATCGTAATATTTTTCTCTACTTTTGGCGGAGCAAATGGATATGTTGTTGGAAATTCCATATCAGCTTTGAAGTAACCACCTTCATATAGAGTATCTGGTGGTCCGAATATTCCGACTAGAAGAAATTAGAAATTCATATGAAATTTATCTTGATAGAAAAATATTTTACCATGCCATTTGTACAAATTTGAATCATCATCTAGTTTAACAGTAAAACCTTCAACAGGTTCTTTTTGTAATTTCGAATATTCCAGTTGAAGAGCTCTTATTGACGGCGAATTCGATGTTCTTGATGATGTATAATGAGTTGTTGATGTTGTCACACCTGTCGTTTGTCTTATTTGACTCATTTTGGATTTTAGAAATTAAAAATCATGACAATTTTGAAAATAAATAAGCTACTTAAAGGGAATCAATTATCGACAAGGCGCGCGCACTTACAAGATGCACACACACACACAAGACTCGAGCAAAAACGACAGACGAAGAAATAAACACAAATCGGACGGGATGATTAGAAATAGAGCAACGAGAGAGTATGTCGATGGAGGACTTTCAACCAATCATTGACGAAATTTCTATAGATGTCATTATTTTGCAAAGTTTATGCTTGATTAATTATATCCTTATTGAGCAAGCCAAATATTTTATAAGCAATCAATGAAAATTATTTTGAGAACTTGTTCGATGAATTCAGAATAGATTGAATATCCTTAGCTTGCTGATTAGTATTGAGATAAACATTTTAAGGAGAAAAAAAATGTGATTTCAATATGTATGTCATGAGTTAGAAATGTACTCAGTAATTAAAATTATACAAGATTAATAGTGCATCTGGCTAAATGCGTAGTCTTTTTTCTGCTTACAAAACGCTTTCTAGAGCAATGTATTTAAAAAATAGCTTGTTTTTTTTTATTACTGTGTACTCAAATGTCTCGTAAATATGTATACTGTCACGTGTACATTAATATTAGCAAAATCATTTAGACCTGGAATATGAACCTGTGATTGTACGGATAAAAAACAAACAAGTATTATTTCAATAATTCTTGCTTGTAACATTAAGACATTGCCGAGAGAACATTTTCTCAAAAAGTAATGAGTGGCTCAAGTATGCACAACAAGCTCTTATTGAATGTGAATACCTAGAATGGTTAAAAAAGAAATGATTCCTTCACGATTTAGACGAGTATGGTGACATATTGTACGCTCGAAGAGCTGTTACATCACAAGAAAACTTATTAGAAAGATATTCAATGAGCTACATAATATTTAGTTATATTGAAAGTTTGAATCGATGAATATATTGAAAAAATAGATAACATAGGGTAAATCCAATAAAAGAGAAATAGAACGAATGATTCGAAAAATGAAAATTTTTTCTTTCATGAATAAATATAGTCAATGATGCATATGCTTGTCCACATTGATCATGCTTAACTATACTATCGCATCGTATGTTTAGCTGTCATCATCTATAAGTATCAATCCATACAGCAGTCTTGACAGAAATTCAGACAGATAACAAGCATATAATAAATATTGCAATAGTATGTTCGCCTTCGCGCCTTATGCCAGATGATGTCTTATTTTTTCTTGTTGTTACTTAGCTATGTAGTTAAATAAGATGTTTTTTTTGCGTAGAATATCAAAATTAAGCAATAAATTCTGATCGTTTATAACACTCATATAAATCCATAGAATGAATTATCTTAAGATTCTAACAATTCATTTTATTAGAAATTTGTGCGTAGCCCACTTGAATCAAGATAAAAAAAGAAAAGAAAAGAATCAATACAATGTTCGTTTATTTATTCTGTTACTTGATGCTTCCAAATCTCTATTCAGCTTAAGGTAGATGAAAAATATCCTTCTTTTATATTAGCAAAAAATAAATCTTTAAAATCGAACTGTCTTTCATAATCAGCAAAGAGAAAAGATGCGTTCCTATTTAAGTGATTACTATTTTCCTCGTAACAAAAATATTTCTATGCGCACGTTTCTTATTAATCTATATGATCAATTACTTTCACTTTGAACGATAATCTGGTTTTTCATAATCAAGCAAATGATGCCCAGAAAAAATGTGGCATCTTTTTTTTTCTTCTTGCATCATAAATCTCCTAATCAAAGAAAATAAATAAATGATTGATTTCTCATAAATAATTTGCATTTATTCTGTTGGATATACATGTAGAAAATGATTAGGATAAGAAACAAGAATTAAAACAACTTTACAGCAAAAGAAAAAATGATGAATATGACTAGTAGCAAAGTATATGTAAGTATAAATACAGATAAATAAGAAAAAGACAAGACATTATGATAAGAGATCCAATTATAAATTTCGTCTTAGATCACATAGATCTAATTGCGAGAAACTATTTTGAACTAGCTACGACCAAAAAAACAGAAAAGAAAATTATTCATTTAACCAAGGAAATGCTTCAACAATATCTTTACGACGTTCACCATAATCATAATATAGCTCTTCGTCTATTTCAATGTCACGTAATGCAACTAAAATCAGACGTGGTTGATCTTTTACAACGAATACTTTGGGTTGACAGTTGCTATTTTTTCGACTATGATTTATCAAACGACCTAAACAAATAAATTAAATAATACTTCCAGATACGTTTTTAAAAATTGTTCTATCGATAGTATTCTAATCGGATTCATACTGACCGAGTCGATTTGTTTCTTCAGTAGCATCCACACAAAAGACTTTTTCTCCCCATCTGAAATAATACATATAACAGCCGATATTATGATTACGCCCATATAAACTTTCCCGTTGTCGAGCTTCATGTTGTGTTAATAATTCTCCAGCATATTCAACAATATAATCATTACGAAAAAATTTTCTTGTCGTATAAACACCACGTCCTCTAATAGTTTTAGTATCGCGAGCTTCCAAGCCATCTTCACATTGTCTTTCAATATAGGAATCAAACGATGTTGCTGATTTATATTTTGTTATAGCTATTTGTTTGCTTATTTGACGTTGACTTCGACGTAACGTCGAAATAGATTCATTATTATCATCATGTACAGTTCGCTTTGCTAATGGTAATGAATTCTTTGTACTAATTACAAAAACAAAAACTCCAATTAAAGATTTAAAAGAAAAAAAAAGAAGAGCAAAATCCCATTACGTTTTAATTGTAGATTCTGAACATGATGGTAAAACTTCATCTTCGGGTATACATATTTCAGGCGCAAATAAAAATTGGCCTTTCAATAGACCTCCTTTTCTCAGTCGATCTGATTTGATATTGGCTGACGATTGAAAACGTTTTGGCGGACGGACCGGAATCATCTATGATATTTATTCAAAGTATTTCACTAAAGCATTTATGTTTTCATCATGAATTATTTACATAAGAAATATCCCTGCGTGCCATTAAAGCATCATGGCCTAAAAAAAGAATTCTTTAGGTAGGTAACTATCAACAATAAATGAATGAATGAATGCATGCTCTTTTTTTCCTTCATAATTGGTTCGTTTCGGGCCATTGTAAAACTATTGATTAGAGGTCGCTTAGTAACTGTTATCTGAACGATCTTTACTCGAAAATGACATATAAATTCAATCTTTGAAAAGATTATTGAATCGAAGACGAGAATTCAAATAGTATCAATTATCTTCTTATATGTTTTGAATATTTTATAAGAAAAGGCTCTTTATATCTTACACTTGAAGTTGAAAAAATAAGTTTTAAAAATATAGTAAGAGAAAACCTCTCATTTAATTTAAGAAATTAATGAAACCTAAATGTTTGGCTCGATTGAGACAAATAATGAGAACTTGATATAGCACGAGGCATCTCATAAGTTTGCTTCTTCAAATTATATTTTCATCAAAAGCTTTATTCTTTATATATATCGAAGCGAAGGTTTTTTTTTCCATATAGTTAAATCTATTTTTCTAGTTTATCATAAACAATTGAAAGTACTATTTGACATCTTTTAAACCCAACATTCACTTGAATAATTTATCTGATGAAATTTTCTCTACATATTTATATCGTGTTGTCTCTAGCAGCTTGTCGACGTGGAAACTAATCAACTAGATAAAAATATTCATAAATTAAAAACAAATCAATTATTGAATACAAACGTATAATTATTTTGTCTCCAGCTCATTTTTCACCATTGCTATTGAATGAAAAATATTTTTTGTTTCTGATTCAATGTCATCAAAACTCGCAGACATTCATTTGATTTCTGTAAAATAACCGCTTCGTTTAAAATGAAACCATTCTGCAACCATATAACGAAAATATGTATTATCATCTATATATTTATGCAATGGAAGTTGATTTTTCTGTTGTTATTTCTTGTAAAAAAAATCTACTATTTCATGAATAAAATAATACATGTTTTTAGTAAGCCTATTCAGTTTTCGGTTAAAACAAACTTGTCCATAGCCTATTTTTTCTTCTCGCTTGATAGTAGTTTTCTTTTCTAAACTATTCACTGTTAATGCTTATTAGAAAGGTCAATTGTGTAAATCTTCCATTGTCATTTATAATTGGATTTAAAACGCACGACTTTTTGTCTAGTTTTCTGTTTTATGAAGTAGAATGTATCTTAGAGTAGATAGAACGAAAGAAAAAAATTGATGTTATTGTAAAACCTATACTTCACATCATCGATTACTCATAATCATCTGATGTTTATTGTTCTTTTGCATAGTAATTTATTTGTTTTAGCTAGCTTGTTATCATCACTATACTCTAATTGAATATTTCATTGACATCTTCATTTCATTTCAATATATAATCGATCGTTTGTTTAGCCATATTTATTTGGTTGCTTTTGCAAGCTCCACCTTTCTCTCATATAAATCTAATTTTCAATTAACAACGCAGCATGTCAATAGGATATTTCTCGATCATGACTTTCTTGCACCTATAATCCATACGGTTCTTTCACATTCAAACAGCAACGTATATTATAATTAACAAGGGAGATAAATAATGATGAATTTTTTGCCTTTCAATTTGTTCATTCCTCTTAAGCATTTAATTTTCACACATTACACTAATAAGTTTGAAACATGCAAGCCATTTCAGCATGTAGATGCACGCTCCTCCTAAACCGGAAATTCTTTAGCAAAAAAAAATTAACTTTTATTTTTATTTTTGTTTTCAAAGGTTATAGATAGATTTTAATCAATGTGTCATTGAGAATTAACTACTTTTTTCTATTCATATGTCCTCATCGTTAAACGTATAAATGTACTATATAATGACAAGTCTATCTAGGATAAAGTGAATATGTGTATCATATAGTCGTTGAGATTGATGTTTGAAAAAAACAGACGATGAGTAAGTTAGCAGCAATTATCATCCATTAGAGAGTCGAGAGATTTCAATCGGACAGTAAAAGAAAAGAGTGATTTAACATCCATTTTACCGCCATCATATTGTTGCTGTGATTGAAAGTATGCCTTGAGGCAAGTTGAACGAATGGACAAGTAGGAGTAAAGAAGAAAAAGAGAGAAGAAAAACGGAGAAGTGACTTGTCACTTGATCACTAGAGAGAAAATGGACAGTGGCATTATGTCCGCCCATTTGTCATTGCTTTTCTACCTGTATATCGTCTAAGTTAATTTTTTGTTCGTGACTGATGTCTATTGGTGATGGATTAAAAAAAGCAAAAAGTCGAAATTCAAAATTCTCTTCCTCTTAAACATATTATCAGCACGTTTCATGATTGCCAATGTCACAAAGATTATTGATAGTTGATCATGTCGAAATATGATCTCTGTGCAATGTTATTTATTAGTTAAACGAAGAACATGTCGTTCCATCTACATGAGTCCATTAAAAACAGCAGGATTCATTTTGTTCTTGCTAAGAAAATAATTGAGACATTATCTCGACCTTGTCTTTGATGAGCACATTGAGATACATAGACTATCAATAAAATGATTTAATGGGCTATTTATCTTGTTTTTTTAACCGATGAAAATGAAAATCATCATCGTCGCTCATATCAAAAAACAACAACAAAAAAAACTATCGAAGGGTCAAAGTGATGATGTCATCCAATATATCTTTACATCTTCTGATTGATTAAATCAATCTCTCGCAGTTGTATATATTAACATATATGCTTCTCCGTCTACTTCTACTTTTGTTTACACACACATACGGAGTGAAAAAGAGACGCGTTCATTCATACAATAGAACGTGTTAATGAAGTTTGATGATGATGATGATGATCGGAGTACCCCGAAGCTTTTCTTGCTTCAAAACTATTACTACAACTACTACTACTTCTTGAACGTTCGTCGAGTTCAATGTTATACGCCGTTTACCCTCAAGGCAATGAGATGAAAGCTCTTTTTTTCTGTTGCTCTATCGTTTTAGTTAGATGTAAAGGCGGAGCCGCCTCTAAAATATCATACTCATTTGTTTTTTGGACTACATATATTGAATAGAGTAAATCAAAATATAAACAGTGACATGATTGTTTTTCACCCATAAAATTATTTTTCAAATCAAAAGCTTGATAAAATAGAAAAATGCTGTCAACAAACTATTTACTTTTTTCATCATCAACAGCAACGTGTTATTGTTATTATCGAAATATGAATGTTCAACATTCCATTTCATATATTTGTGTGTCTTTAAAATGAATCATTTATATCTATATGCAGTCTGTCTGTTACTGTTTTTTCACGCAAGTGTATACATACAAGAGAAAAGGTGCAAAACTAACATTGACCATATGTCATGCTATCAACAGTATTGTCACTGAATGCAGAGCAAGAGAAGACTAGTTTGTTTATCTGTATTAGAAGAAGATGGTAGCTTAGTGTTTCTCTGTCTCTCTCTCTCTCTATATATATATATATATACGTAGGCATAACTAATCGTACATCAAAACCCATTTGAAGGATAAATATAGTTACTATTGTTGTTGTTTTTGTTTTTGTTGTCGTCGTTGTAGCTCTTTATTCTTTTTTTAACTGATTACAATGACCTCCATCTTCTTTTTTTGTATCTCGATTGAGTTTAATAACAATTCCAAAATTACATAAACAATTATCTCAATAAGATTAAATAGCTATGGGCAAATGTTTAGATAGAAAATTGAAATGAGAATTATGTAATTTATATTTACAGTTTTAAAAGAGAAAGAAAACATAAAAATTTATTTTTTAAAATCTTAGACATCTTGACGTTGAAGAATATTGTTATTTATTTTTTGAATAGTCTCTTGATTGGATCAAAATATATATTTTCCCATCAGTCTGTTGATATATTTAAAGAATGGATTATTAATACAAAACATTATGATTATAATAGAGTGATCGCTAAATCTCTGGTATAAATAATGACTTAGCTATTTAACATGGTTGCGATAAGTGCCATATTGTTCATCAGAAAATGACGTAAAAGTATTGCCTGGAAAAAGTTGTGTCGATCAATGGATTATTATAGGCTTGACCTTTTTTTAAACATTAAACTATTATTCGTACATAACTGAAGCATAGACTTAATATTACGTTTATCTGTATTTCGAATTCGTCATTCTTCTATTCGTAAGGCTTTCAAAACAAATTATAATGATCATTAAACTTTAGTAAAGACATACACACTAGTATATTTAACTCAAGGTCGGATTTAGCATAAAAACACTGATGCAAACGAAACGCATGTATCTCTTCTTATTATTGTTTTTTTTTTGGTCAATGAATATAAATTTCTAATAACTTCAGAAGACTTTTGGTAGGGTAAACATTTCACCGTTTGTGACATCAAAAAACAATTAGCAATTGAAACAGAACCCATATACATATATATTTATCATTGGTGGGATAATGTTTGTTCAAGTAATATTCGAATGAATCCTTGGTAGTTAATGTGTAGTGATGAGAGCAAAGAAAAAATCTTCGTCCCCATTCATGTTCGTCGTTTGCTGAGCCAAAAAAAGAAGAGAGACAGGAAGAAAGAAAAAAGATTGTTTGTCTGTATGCTCTCAAGCGATCGACCAATAGAAAAATGTTGCGCTCAGCCAACAGGAAACGGGAACAGAATAATAATCATAATGATAATAACCTCACTCCTCCCATTTAGAATTGTCTGAAAGTAGCAGAAAAAAAAAACACTTCTTTTTCATTCTTCGTTTTCATATTTTGCTCAACAAAATAAGAAAGAAAGAAAAAAAGATTGACATTTAATAATATATATATATATATATAGAATTTTCCTTCTTTCTTTTTTTTCCGAATGTGATTCCTTTGCATGAAATCAGCGAAAAGAAACATTTTATACTATATATTTTCCTGCAGATAATTAAAATTATGAAAAATAGTTTGAAATTGTCTCATTATAATACAGGATATCAACCTGACTATCAAGACACTATATGCAATGATTATCCAGGTAAAGCAAAAAGCAATGAAATGACGAAGAAAACATAAACTAATGGATTTTTTCTTTTTCTTTTGAATAGAAACCAAATGTTCATCGATTTGTACAGGTTGTAATTGCCCGATCTATGATCGATACCTATTGAAAGTTGCTCCCGATCTTGAATGGCATGTTCAATGTTTAAAATGTTCCGAATGTGGCCAATATTTAGATGAAACAGCAACATGTTTTGTTCTTGATGGAAAACCTTTTTGTAAATCTGATTATATAAGGTACGTATCAATATAGATATGTTTCTTTTTTTCTCTTCTGCGTGTACGCCGACAAAAGAGTTTTACTTGGAAAAATTATCACAAATGATAATCATCTCAGCAGTAAAAAAATTAACACACTTCAAATAGCATATGTGTCGTCTCGGCAAACAACTTTGTTCGATAAGAGACAGAGAGAGAAAAAGAAAGATGACTTTTTTAAGCTAAATGCATACAAATGAGAGTCGTTGATGAATGAATTATTTACAAAAGCTTTTCATGCAGATTTGACCGGTCTCTCTTCACTTTCACTTGAACAGCTTGCAGATAAGAATAAAGACAATACATATAGAAGAGATTTCACTTAGTAGAATTAATTCTTTTACTTTATCATGCAATCATGATTTCTTAGTTTTTTTCTTCCCCCTTCCTCTACTACTACTACTACTACTACTACTACTTCTTATTTCACTTAGATTGTTTGCATCAAAATGTGCTAAATGTCAAGAATCTTTTTCTAAAAATGAATTCTATATCCGAACAGCATTCTATCGTCGTTATCATCCAGATTGTTTTCGTTGTAATCACTGTGATCGTTTACTTGTATCTGGTGACGAATATTATCTACGTGAACAAAATCAAATTTTATGTCAACAGGATTTTCAACAATTAAATTCATCTAATGATTCAATAGGAACACCAACTGCAGGTATATTACCAAAAGAAAGAAAGAAAGAAAGAAAAGAAAAGCGTATGGCGTGCATATATACTTACATCCGTTCGGATGTGACTATGGCGTGAAGGAAGGAATTGACGGCGTGCGTTCAATGCCGGAAGTCAGATCAGTCTGGGGTGCTCTCTTTTCACGCTATATATACTATAGTAAAACGAACGAGGGAATGACTACTAATCAGTCAACACCGTTTCTTTTCTACTATTTCTCAACCGGATACAGTCAATAAATGCACGTGTCGATTGAGAGACACTACAAAGCAAGAAAAAAAATTTATTATCCTATATTGAGATGTGTGTGACTTTTGGAGCTAAATCGTTTGAATTTTTATTTTTACTGTTTCTCTGTCTTGATGACATTGTGATAGTATTGATAAATGATTGTCTGGCCGATTTTAATCTGATCTAAATATACGCGTGTGTCCATTGAGAATTCAAGTCATGATCAATCGTACATTTCGACATCGAATGACATTTATTATCGTGAGACTTTTTTCTCATCATTTTAAATTCATATGTTTAGCAACAAATAATCATAATGTATCTGTGTATCCACCTCCAGCATCATCTTCATCGCCATCCACAACATCGAGTCTATCAAATCAACCTATAGGATCAATAATAAGTGCAACATCGAATTTAAAATCAGCGAATAGTTTACGAAAAGATAAAACAACACGAATGCGAACTGTTTTAAATGAAAAACAACTATTAACATTACGAACATGTTATGGAGCAAATCCTCGTCCAGATGCATCTATGAAAGAACGGCTTGTTGAAATGACAGAATTGTCACCACGTGTTATACGTGTTTGGTTTCAAAATAAGCGTATGATAAATTCTAGAAAGAAAAAGTTTTTCCGTAGAGTAATTTTCTATTATTTAGGTTGTAAAGATAAAAAGAGAACTATCCTAGCTAAACAAACTCAAGAACAACAAAAAGTTCTAACAAGCATGAATCATGGTATATCATTAGTTGCATCATCACCTGTATCTAACGATATGAATATTGGTTTACCTCCGGCATCGATTATTCAAGTAAAATATCATTCGAGTGGATCATGGAAATCGTTTGACTCGTATTCAAACGGACATCATTTACAAATGCAACAACAGAACTTTCATGATATAACTGATTTTGCATCTGAAGATGATAGTACTTGTTTTGGTGCATCACAATATAGTGAAGAACGTAGTGAGATTAGTTGCGATGGTAGTGGAACTAGTCAGCAACTAACACTCTTGTAAATCTTTCTTTTTTTTTCTTCTTTTCTTTTTTTTGCTGCTTATAATAAAATTCAATTAATGAATATGTATCTTCGCTCGTTAATCTAATTAGTTCATTTTCTAGTAAAGATCAAAGTTAATTTAGGAAAACGACCATCATTTTCTGCTTTTTATTATTCTGCATATTCAATAGACAATGTATGATTCAATTTATTGTTTTGTACATCGATGTAGTCGCATCAATATTTTAATAATGCCAGATGTTGATTGAAAAAAGAAAAAGAATTTTTGCTTTTGGATTTCTATCTAATGTGTAAATAGCAACACCTTGCCTATATATGCACATCTTCATTGTCACCAAACACAAAACGTTATCTCATCTGTCCACATATACACTTCGATTCCTCGCACCTTAATTCAATCCATTAGCACATTAGATCAAGTTTTCTTATTCCTTAAACTTACATCATACTTCAAAGAGTTTTAGTTTAGTTCTGTTTAAAAGAATAACAATATGGAAACATTTAATTTGCTGATGAAAGAAAAAGTCGTTCGATAAACATTTTCAAGCTTGAGGAATAATCATTGATGCTATTATTTCCAGTATCAACGCATGATTGATTTGATCATTAAGTTTTGCTTTTTTGTTTTGTTTTTTGGTAATGTACTAAATTCATCGTACTAATTCGATTAGGCTGTTTACACCTTTTTCTTCTTGTGACTTACTACAACGAACAAGGACACCTACTGTGTAAATGTATAGAGCTAAGAATAGACTTATCCCTATGTTGGCAGATGTCCGTTCGCGCATTTCTATGTTTACATTCACAGTTCTACCAACTGATGACTGCTGAGTGTAGAAACGCATATTCATATGTGTATTTATGCTTACTTAAGAGTATGTGTTTATCTCTTCAGCACCGTCAATTGTATCTTAGTTATTCAAGAATATACGAACATTCTCTATTTATTTTTCGTTGTCGACACATACTGACAAAAAAATATTTAGTCAAGTTCTTTCGTTTGTCTATATGTCTATCTTTCGTTTCATAGATTAATTTAGCTTTAGGCAAAAACTTTCAAAAAATTAGTATAATAGATAAAGTAGAGATGCTCATCTTTTCTTTTCTATTCTTTTTTTTGAAAAAAATCCATTACAGCACTTAAGAAAAAAGCAAGTCCATTTTCGACTGTAACTGCTAGTTGAATGAACAAGGTTTCTTCGTGTATGGGCACAATACACATACGAAAGAAGTCCTATCGACGACACATGCATATACACAAAACGACAACAACAACAAAAACAGTCTCGGCTGCATTGTTGCAGGCAACAAAAACGTTTAGTCTTTTTTTTTTACTCTTTGTTAGACGACCTTCTTTTGTATTCAAGTGGTAAAGTGTATATATATATAAAGAGAGAGAGAGAGAGAGAGAGAGAGAGAGAGACTGAAGGAATAAATGAATGATGAAATTGTGTAAGAAACGACACGAACGACGAATCTGTTTGATCAAAGTCTTATCATATATGATCATCATGACAACTCCCCCGTTGTCCCAACAGTCATTATGTCTATCCCGCCTACTTTGATCGGTGTAATTGTGAAAACAATATTGCTCTCTTCATTATTGGTGGTTTAGCAAGATGATACATATCGATATCTAGCTAGGAAATGATTGGTTGAAAGGAAAGAGATTTCTTTCTTGTGTAAACAAGTACTACATACACGTGTCACATACTCTTGGAGAGGGGAAGAGAAAGAGAGACAGAGCGAACAAGAGAACGATACTTTTCTCTTGTAGTTGTGCAAAAAAGTACGAAGACTTCTTGTTGAGTGGGAGGAGAGACGAGAAGAGAAGAGAAACGATGCGATTTTTTTTCTCTACTGCTGTCGGCGAATAAAATCGATTGCATACAAAACGTTGCTACGAAAAATCTTTTTTTTTCAGGAAAAGAGAAAAAGAAGAAAAAAACGAGCGAACGCGAACACATACATTTACAAATACACACATACAGACAAACACTAAATCAATCAAAATACTTGGAACTTGTATCAATTAATATGAGTATTCCAACAAATACAAGTAAGTTTTCAATGGCTTGTTCAAGGAAGGAAGATATTAAAACTCTTAATTTCCGTTTGAGAACTATTGAATAATTTTCTTTTCTTCTATCTTCTAGAGCCAATATTACCTGAATGTTTTGGCTGTAAATTATCAATAAATGATCCATCATTTCTCAGTGTTACACCTGGCATTCATTGGCATGATGAATGTCTACGTTGTCGAATTTGTAAACAGAAACTTGATGAACGTACAACTTGTTTTATGGATCGATATGGTTTTCCATATTGTAAGCATGATTATTCAAGGTAAATAATTAACATATATTCTCTTCTTTTAATTGAAAAAACATATTTTTGTTGCTATTGTCTCATGTAGAAGATTTTATTATCAATGTTTTGCTTGTCAAAAGCATTTATTACGTAATGATTTAATTCAACGAGCAAAATCTAATGTTTATCATGTTGATTGTTTCCGATGCGAAGCATGTCGAAAATGTTTACAAGCTGGAGATGGTCAGTGGACAAAACAACAAAAGAAATTAATTTTATGTATAGTTTCTTCATTTTTTTTGTTTTAATAGAATTTACACTAAGTGGTGATAATCGTATTTTATGTCGAAATGATTTTGATTCTTTAACGAATAATAATTCGAATGAAACATTAAAAGCACTCGACTGTCCAAAATTAACAATTAATGAACTAGCAAAAGTAAATCAAAATAATGAAACTCCTCTACGAACACACGCTTCAACGCCTAAAAAGAAATCATCAAGAATAAGTACACACAATAAAATACATGCATCTATTGACGATATGGATTCAAACGATGAACGACATAAATCAACCGATGATTCATCGTCATTGTCTCCGAATGGTTCATCATCACAACAATTAAATTTAGGTACTAATAGTAATAATCATAATAATAATAATAGTGCCGAAAGACGGCCACGTCGAGATAAACAACAACGTGTTCGAACTGTACTAACTGAAAAACAATTACATTTACTCAAATCATGTTATGCTTATAATGCACGTCCGGATGCTCTTCTAAAAGAACAACTAGCAGAAATGACAGAATTAAGTCCAAGAGTGATTCGAGTTTGGTTTCAAAATAAACGTAAGTCTTTTTGTTGTTTCTTAAAATTTTATCTTAAATATTTATAATAGGATGTAAAGATAAGAAAAAAACTGCTGCTCAACAATCAAGATTTCCTGGCGATCCAAAAGTATTATTTTAATTCAATAGTTATCATGTTAAACTAATTGATATTTTATAATTTAGCGTCATCGTCTTGATATTCCACCAATGCCACCGCTTGGTCCCAACGGTGAATCATTTCTTCTCGGACATCCTATGAATGTTCTATCACCATGTAATAGTCAAGGCGGTGGTCAATCAACAGTAAATGGTACTAATAATATGTACGAAGGCGGACCGCTACAACCACTACAGCCAATCGGCTCAGTAAATACGAATGGACCTTTTCTAAATACACGCGATGGAATGATGTATTCATTATCGTCATCTCCACCATCGAATAGTGATGATTCATATGTAATGGGTCCACATGGACCTCTACAAGCAATGTCATGCCCTAGTGAATGGATTGAACACCATCCTCCACAAGGTAATGACTATCACGCAACAATGCCAATGTTTCATCCGGTTAATATCAATGAAGAAGAACTCGACGATCAAGATATGATGATGCCTGTAGAAGACGATAGTCTAGACCAAACAAATTCGGATTTTAGCGATGGTTGATAAAGCAAAGCATGTCTTTATCTTTGTTTGTGTGTGTCTACGCACATGTATATAAATATGACGAAAAAATGAAGAATTTAACGAGATGTTAACTCGTTTTTATTTGTATTTGTGTGTGTGCATGTGTGCGTAGTCAGAACAAAGAGCATATGTATTCGTTTTCTTTTCTTTTTTGAACTTTCACGGTTTTTTTCCTGCATTTAAAAATATATATTATAATTGATGCATTTAATTTAAGCTTTTTCTACTCCTTCAGTGTCATACTTTGATAGGATGATGATGATGATGATGATGATACTTGTTTTAAAATATGCTTGTTTTAAGAAAAAACACTCAATGAATTCTGTATTCTTTTTTTTTATTGACAGAAACAGTAAAAATTTTGATTTCTTTTTCTTTTTTTGTCGAATATATATATATCCTTTATAGAATAGCCAGAGGGCTTTCATTCGTCGTAAGATAATTTACAGTGAATGATTGAAAGGATATTATTTTTGAAAACACATTTATATACGAGCAGGGAAAAGTTTGAAAAGACAAATGTAGAATAAAAATAAAAATAAAAATAATATTGATCCATGTCACTTGTAAAAACAAAATGACTGACATTAGATAATTGTGTATAGAAGACAATGGTATGCCGATAGAAGAAGGCCTTTGTTTTGATTGAGAATTTGTTGAAATCAATCATTGCACAAGTTCTTTTTCTTTCATACTACTGACATATTCTTGTGTGTTTAGTCGATATTTAGTCAGCCATGAACAAAAGGTTCTTTTTTTGTCTGTGTGAATCATTAGGATTTATTTTCATTGTATTTATTTTTGAAAGTATTTACTCTTTTATGGATTCGATTGTTTGAGAACGACGGAACGATTTTTTTGAAAGAAGCTGTTTATATCCCTGTGAATATTGAAACATCTAAAGGTTAAAAACAATCACCCGTGATATAAACAATCAAATGATGAGCCGAAACGATCGTTGATATTGTTTCTATTGAAATGTCGACGTTCCTCTAGATTGATTGTATAAATTTGAAGTCGATAGTTTTGAAGATTGATTAGTATTACATTGATTCTGCATGGCTTCAACACACAATGACTTGTAACCTTGAAAAGCATATTACAAAGTCGACGAGTCGACTCTTGAAGAATATCTTGTATGATACGATCATCTGGTCGTGGAAAAAATATTTCTTTGGATTTATTCTTCTTGAATATTCCCAAAAGTTGGACGTCCATTTTTTAATGTCAATTTCTTTAAATCGATTTTATCAAATAACAATTTTCTTTATTATCAAGAATATTAACAGATTCCTTTTGGTTGTCTTAACATCTGATGATAAAATAAACAGACTTGGGCTAATCTATGACATCTATATGGACATAAAACAAGTTGACAGTTTGACTGTGCAATTATTACGATGAAAATAGAATCTCATTCAATGATAAATCTAAAGACTGTATTTTAATGAGAAGTACTTGCTAAAATGCTAAGTAATGTTTTTCAAAAAATAATTTGATTCATATTTATTTTATGTTAAAAAAAAAGAGAAAGATATTTTCGATCAGATTATTTATATAGGGTAACTAGTTATTCCAAAGTCTCATCAAAATCATCAAACACATTGAAATCTACTGAGAAGAACTATGCCGCTATAAATAAAATTTCGGTGCTTAGTTATTTTTGCTGTAGAATCAAAACTAAAATATTTATGAACAACAATTGAATATCAACCGAATGATTTAGGTTTTTTCTTGGAAAACCTCAAGTTTAGTTAAAATAAAAGTAGCGAAATTTGCTCTAGCTGTCAATTGATGATACCCTCATCTTTTAAAATGACGTTTAAATTGATGAATTCTGCACAACAAAAAAGTGATTGTGAAGCTCTATCGAGATCGTAACAACTCGCGCGTTACATCACTTTGAATTTGAATTTAGAATATACACTGAGTAGCACTGATCGATAAACTTTTCTTTTTTAATTTGTCTTTATCGTTTCCATCTGTTGTAAATGTTCATATGTGTATAGTTAACTTCTTTTAAACGACTGTGTCATTATATCGTCATTCTTTGATTCAGGACAAGATGAAACAAGATAAGAAAAGAATCATATGTTACATATTTATCAATCTTTTTTTTACGTTTTATCTTCATATCAGTTGAACTTTACTATTATTTTGTTTTAAGGACATTTGTTTGCACATATAAATTTTTCTCAAATGAATATTCATATTTAATCGGATACTTCAAAGCAGATTTCATTTCGCTATTTATTCGTTGTTACCTGTTTTTTTGTCTTATGTAAGCTATTTTCAGTAGAAGAAAGAACTGCGATTTAGTTTTAAATGAAGTTTCCAAGTATTAATTAGTTAGCGCTCTGAAATCATGTTTTCATCTTGCAAATGGGGGAAAATCTCCAAAACAACGTCTTCCTTTTCCTTGCATATTATTAAATTGAGCTTGTAGAGTGAGTTAATCAAACTCATGAGAAAAACCAACGAAAAACTTCGTATGATTACAACTGGAAAGTATTCATGAAATCATCAATATCCAATTCACTCTCTCCAGTGCATTGGTATTTTTGACTATTCTACTAGCGTCTCGATAATGATGGCTGTCAGCATTCACTTGTAAATTTTAAGAATACAAAATATCGAAGACAAAAAAAGAGGAATTTCTTTTCTTGCATTTGAATTTGAAAATAGAAACGGTAGATTTGCATTTTTATTCGATCATCAAAGAACTTCACTAGAAAATGCATTTATGTTTTACAAGACGTCTATATTCATTTTCAAAGTAAATACCAATATAGGTTGATAACTATATTGTATCATTGATTACATTAGCATTATTTGCATTACAAGTATGTGAAATTGTTATTTTTATAAATTGAAAACAGAACCCATCCCGTACAGTCTATGACATAATTGTTACACTCTATTATAGTGTATCGAAGACTGCGGCTGTATTTCTTCTTTTCGTTTGAACTATAAGAATTTTTGTTTTTCTGACTCATCTGTACACTAACATTACGAGCTCAAGTTCATTCTGTAAATGAACTGTACATGCAGGTGAAGTTGCACATTTACAATGTACTCGTATTCATCAATAAGATAGACCAATACTTAAATAAGTATTGAACCATGTTATTCTAATCAAATTTTTAATGGAATTGTATTTTTATAACACTCGAACACTTGATATTTTCATTTACTCTGTTGATCCTTTGACAATATGAATGTTTTGTTTGCAATTTACATGTGAGTGAATGTGTTTTGGTTTCGCGCCCGATTATCCTATCTATTTCTAATCGACGGCATCCCCTATATTTCCCAATAGATTACGTCGCCCTACTTATATCTTCGGAAATGATTTACTTATGTTTATCGTATAATGTCAATAGTAATTGATATCCTTTGTAGATATGTTATGGTTTAGTTATTTACAAAAACATTAATGATATGGCTAATGGCTATTTGTAAAACTGTTGTATTTCGTCTAACGATTGCTGTTCAGTTGAAATCGTATATGGTATTAAATAATCATCTATTGTATTATTTCGAATCATTCTGATTGTAGTAGTTAGTCGTAAAGAAAACTTTTCTTTTACATAAAAATTATTCGTGTGAGTAAAGGTTTCGTTACTGTCAAGCTTGCTACATTTATTGATTAATAAATACATTGTCAGAATAAGAAAAAAAATTGGCTTCTGTAAGTGTACTTATCAAGATGTTTAAGTAAAACATTTTTATTACAACAAAGCATCTTACTTTACAATAACATTTCAAATTTGACAATCAATTTTTCTTTTTCTTTAATGTTCCTATGATCAAAGATGTGATTTTAAGATTGATCAAAAGTAACAAAAATGAAACTGTTGAAATTTCACTTCGAAATCAAGTTCCATACGATGAAGTTTTATTGACATCTTGGTTTTTCTGTCTGGATTGATTTCGAACATAGGCCTTGCCTATATCTATACTAGAAAAGTTAATGCTGAATTAAGAAACATGGTTGGTTGAAAAGTTAATTCAGATTCAATGCACTTTTGAAAAGCGAATTAAATTAAAGTTAATGCACCAATCGATAAAGAACTTGATGGACTAATTAATTAGAACCTTGGGCAGGTCTCAATGAGGTCGCTGTATATTACCGATAAATAGATATTTTACAAAGAACAGGAGGTGAACTATAAAAATTAAGAACCCTACAATATTGCACGAAACTATAGTTGAAAGAAATAAGCTAGAAAAGTAGATATTTTGGTGACAAATTTTGTCATTTGTCGTTAATCATCAAAAGCGAGACAGACAGAAGAGACTTTTTCTTTACTGAACATCTACTAAGTTTTTACATTCAGACTAAATTATAGCAGTTACTTCTCAATTCTGATTGATGCATTAAACTTATAAGTGAAGACTCATGTAGATTTAATTCAATTCGAATAATGCCGCATTATCTTTCTAGTGTAGACAAAACTGTAGACCTGAAACGAGAATATATTATATCTAGATGTTAGGGAAGTTAGCACAAGATTCGAGTTTTTCCAGCCCGGATTCGCCTATATGGTTGTGTTGAATTTCATTTTCGTTGTGTTGGATGCAGGATTTTGCGCTGAATCGAATGGTGTAATTTTTAAAGGGGATTGCCGATCAAAACCTTGCACTTTACCTGGAAATACCGCTTTTTCTGAAAATCTTGTAGAAGTAATTTCAGCCCGGATTCGCTGCTTTAGCTGTGTTGAATTTGAAAATGGTTGTGTTGAATTCAGAATGAAATTCTGCATCGAATGATGCTAAACTTGTATGGGGTCATCGATCAAACGTTTCGGGTCTCACCCAAGTCATCCCTCCAAATCTATATTCCAGCCCCACTCAAGTCGAAGAACCTTGATCGGTGACCCCAGACAAATTTAACATTATTCGATGCAGAATTTCATTCTGAATTCAACACAACCATTTCCAGAACCAACACAGCTAAAGCAGCGAATCCGGGCTGGAATTACTTCTACAAGACTTTTCAGAAAAACCAGTATTTTCGGATAAAGTGCCAGATTTTGATCGGTAACCCCCTTCTAAAACTACACCATTCGGTTCAGCACAAAATTCTGCATCCAAAACAACGAAAATGAAATTCAACACAGCCATATAGGCAAATCCTGGCTGGAAAAACTCGAATCATGTGCTAACTTCCACAACGTTATATCTAGTTAGGACTGTAGATGTCACATATAATCGACTCTTTTTTCATGAAGCGTATTGCAGTACTAGAAGAAAGAAAGAAGAAAAAATACGACACTATGTCTGAATCAATGTGTCCTCCTCTCCACGCTGGATGTCATCAACTATGGAGAACGTAGAAAAAACAATGATACTAAAATTCTTGTGATTCATCCAACATGCCTTGGTCTTTTCTAAAACGTCATTCGCAAGTATTAGTTCTTACTATTTCATCGGCTGTTGTTGCCGCTGGATGCTTATGGAGAGCAATAAAACGATATCCATCAAGTATTACAATGGTTCCAACAGAAGAAAATAAATTTATAGTTGATCAATGTCCTTCATTTAATGAATATCGACCAACACCATGGATATTCAATGGCCATTTTATGACTGTGTTTGGTGTTATTTTTCGTTCATTACCAAATGTTTTATTTCAACGTATTCTTGTTCCAGTTGATGATACGGGTGGAACTATTGCTATTGATTGGCATACACAACCCTACAAAGGCCAACCTATTTTATTAATTCTTCATGGTTTAACAGGCGGTTCCGATAATGAATACGTTCGTTGGATGACTTTATCAGGCCATTCAAAACTAAATGCATGCTGTGTAGTGGTTCACGCACGTGGATGTGGTCGATCGCAATTAACATCAGCACGATCATTTTGTGCTGCCGATACAAACGATTTACGTATATCAATTCAATATATTCGATCGGTTATAGGTACTGAAACACCATTATTTGCCGTCGGTTATTCTCTTGGAGCTGGTATATTAACAAAATATATTGGTGAAGAAACTGACGGATGCCCTCTAGATGGTGCCGTTGTTTGCTGTGCTAGTTTTGATATGCATTTATCAACAGCAAATATGGAGCAATTATTGCATACATATACATATAATCGTCGTTTAACAAATAATCTTATACGATACATGCGACAACATGAACATCATTTTACTAAATCAAAATCATTACCAAATCTTAATGTTAATCAAGTCTATCAATCTAAAACAATACGTGATTTTGATACACATGTTATGGTACCACAATATGGCTATCGTGATGTTGATCATTACTATACTGAAGCATCATCTAATATATGGTTGAAATATATTCGAATTCCTACACTTATATTGAGTGCTATTGATGATCCAATATGTCCTATCGATGGTTTGCCTATTGATGATGTTTTACAAAATCCTTATTTAATTGCAATAAAAACATTAGAAGGTGGTCATGTCAGTTATTTACAGGGTTGGTGGCCACGAACATTTTCCTATGATAATATTGTCGTTGTTGATTATTTTAAAGCAAGACTCAAGCAAATGAATTATCAATGGGAACAGGAGAATAATGATCAAAATCTTATTAGTATTCATTTAAATCAATAATAACAATTTTCTTTTAATTCCAAAGCGATCTTATTTTTTATTCTATATGTTTAATTATATATTTCTAGAAAGATCATTAATAATATACAAAACAAGAACAAAAAAAGAAACTATTCTCATCTGATATTAGCTGTTGTAACTTAACAGAAAGATAGATAACACACGTAATTGATAAAGAGCAACACATAGCTGAAGAATTTATTTTCGAACTAATTTTTTTTGCTTTAAGCAATTATCTATACCAGACGAGATTCATGCATTCCTATAAATGTTCTAACGGCCATCAATCGATAGTATATGTACATCTAAGAAATAAACAACACGATCAAATTGGAGATAATCTTTGATTTTTGAAATTGGACAAATAAAGAGAGAGAGAGAGAGAGAGAGAGAGAAAAGTAGAACTAATTTAGCAAACACAAGCAAAAAAAGAAATAAAAGCATAAGGTAAATAGGTTTTATACATATGTATTGATGCTATTGATTTAATAGCAGCTATCTTCACTAGTCCTTGACACAAGAGATGCTTGTGAATGCGTATTTTCTTTTCTAGCGAACTTTGCTTGTTCAGCTTTTCTTAATTCTTTTTCATATAAATTTGAATTTGAACCAAATAGAAAACCGCGTTCTTCGTCTTCAGCACGTCGCTCTTGTCGTCGAATAGTTTGTTCTATTGATGGAGCTGATGTACGATGTATTGGTAAATTACTACTACTGTTATTGGATGCTTTATTGTAATGCATTACAGTACGTTTAAAATCTAGACCACGTAGATAATCATCTTTTTCGGTTTCATCAACTCGATCATTGGAATTCGTCTTTGAATCGGTTGTTGTTATATTCGATAAAGTTGAAGGCTGTTGATTGATCGATATTTGTTGTGATGGTGATGAAATCAATGAACCACGTATTGTATCAATGGATATAGCATCAACCATTGGTGATAATGATAACGTTGATGAATTCGGAGGATTATTGTCAATAATTTTTTTCTCAGTCATTGGATCAATGGAAAATGTATTACTAATATCATCATTGGCAATGGGTCCATTTTGTAAATTATTATTTGTTGGTTTTGTTTGATCTTTTGCGGCAAGTAAAATAGCAGTTTCACTCGTATGATTAGTATGATCTTCAAGAAAATCAGGCATTTTATCCAATTGCTTTTTGTTTAGACGACCTGGTCGACGAATTTTGCCATTTTTCCTTCTTGTACATTTTAAGATAAAAATAAGAAATAAGATTGATATTACACATAAGAATATAAGAAATAATAAGCCAACTATAAAAAAATATTTATATTGTGTAAGATAAGATAATGAAGCAAATAAATCATTTATGGGAACTGATGATGAATTGAGTAGTAATGTGGTATTGGCTGTGGTTGTTGTTATAATTGTTCTTGTTAGAGGCAAATAATGTACTCCAGATCTATCGTCTGTATCCGTACGATTCTTTTTACGATTTCGACGTTGATAAATGCGTCGAGTTGACGCATTTTTCGATGAAAAATTAATATCATTCATCTTTGATAAAAATTCATCTAAAACTAGAGAAACTAAATGTGATTATAATTGATAAAAAAAATATTCATAGTTGTAATGAACTCAACGATTATTATTCAGCTTATCGATATATTTATCTATCAAGTTGTCTGTCTGACAGTTCTATTGATTAGCTGTTCATATGCACACACACATATATATATATATATCGGTCGGAGAGAATGGAGTAATAATATTGTACGAGGCACATAGAATGGAGTAAGAAGAAAAAATGCATGCATATTACACGTTTGTGAAGAAGTCAAAGGGCAGAGAAATTCGAGAATATACTTTATCGAATATTTCTTTCTTCTTACGTGCCACTACGCAATATGGTCATAATAAAGATAGACAGTAGTGATCGTATTTCAGCATCAACATCATGATCATTGATACTTCTTTTTTTTTTGTTGCGTCTTTTCGTGTACTTTCGAAAGAAATAAAGATAGAATACTAATTCATATAGACGAAACAATGTTAACGCTACAGAAAAAACAAAAACAAATAAGCAAAACTTTCATCGCTATTATTAGTGTTGTGTTTAATTTTATGGTTTTCCTTATCATTATCGTCTAACCATCATTGTAAATCAACTTTTAAATAGATTACACCTTCTAATGATAAACACCATTCAAGAATTGCAGGGAAAATTTTTTGTAACGATTTTCTAGACTAAACGTTCTATCATATATATATATATATATATACATATAGTGCTCGATCAACAATTCGTACCACATGTTTTCTTTTTAGATATGTTCTCGTGCTAGGATTTCTAATTATTTATCAATAATTTTACAACGTATTAAATCCGGATAGAATCAGTAACGAAAGAAAAAAGCGCTTTTTAGATGCGGACACTTTTTGAACACTATTATTACTTCGTTTTTTCTAATGTTTTATATCGAAATCGAGGCCGTTGAAATTATAATTTGAAAAATTTTCCTTGTTAAATAATTATTACTTGTGCTTCTAAAGTTTGCATTGCTTTCATTAGTTTTTTTTTCTTGTTTCAAGTACGTGTACTATGACGGTATTCAACAAATATTTGATCTAAAATTAATTAAGTAGATTCGTTTTTTTAAAAACTAAATGGTATGTTCAAGGTTACAAAAGAAAACAAACATATTTATGAATAATAGGACACAATGAATCAAATAGTTGTTACTACACGATCTGTCATTGGATTAGTCCAACCATTTTCTGATGTTATTCATAGGATGGATGGTATGCTTGAGTTGGAATGAACATCTAGTGTCATCTATACAGGTTGTCGCGTTTAAAAGAAATTAAATTATCGGTTCATAGAAACAGAGTAGATTTCTTCAATCTATCTATCTAGATGCTACTATAGGTTGATTGATTTTTTCGAAGATACAAATGTTATCATCAGAGATTTTATTGAGTTTTTTTTCTGTACACTGAGATTCTTCGGTAAACATGATTCAAAATGACTTAAACATTACTTAGTAGTAGTATCTCATGTTGTGACAACATAAATTATCTTCACTTATTTTGTAAATGATGCCTGAATAGCTGCTATCTTCAAATTCTGAGAATATCTGAAGCCATCATTTCAATCCTGAATGTGTCGGTTTTTACATGATAGAAGTCTGTGATTGTCATAACACGTAATAATCCTTGAGATAGACATTTATTGACAATAGAATGTTTCTGCTCAGCATTTTCTTTATGTAATCAAGTACTATAGAAGCTCAAGTTTTCCAAGCTGACACTATTCTCATTGCTGCCATAAACAAAAAAGATTTTGAATTAAGAATATAATGTATCAGAATTATCGCTCGATATATTATCGAATGTTTAAGAATGTAAAGCCAGGTCTCAAGCTGTCGAGTAGGAGTGTTTTGAAAGTTTCATTTAATCTTGAAGTAAATTTCTGAGCATCTCACCGAGAAAACTATACATGCTAGTCAGAACAGCTGTGCAAAACTATCGTTTATTGTCATCGTTTTACCAAAAATTGATATTTCGAAATCTGTCAAACAATTTTACTACTGAAGATTTTCATTCAAAAATATCTTCAAGCCTCCTAGGCTACACTGTGACAAACTTTAGTTGTACAAACTACGAACGCTCGAGAACTGAAGGAAATATCGAAGGAAATTCTACCACATGATATTTTGATTATTAGAAACTGTTTTGTTGGTAAGATAAATCGAGTTTACATAAACTTAGAGAACTCGAGATTTTTCTTTTTGAGAAGTTTTCTTACCTGAAGGAACCATTGACGAAAAACTTTGTCGCATAAATAAAAAGTCCGTGTCTTACTGTTGACTATATGTTCGGAAAAGACCAACTTTTTAGCTTAGAAAAAGAAGAAGAAAATTCTAGTAATTCGATAATAACATAATAGACTCTTATCATTAGACGTAGGAAGCTATTATGACATATTGGAAATTATGTGTAAATTATTTTGTTTTTCAAACTCAGAACATTAGCCACTGTTGCTTTTGAAAGTTTGAAATGAAGCAAAGGAAATCATTTTTGGTCATCAAACGTGATCAAGAGAAAATATCTAATGAGCTTTTTTCGAAGACTTTATTTCGCCCTTGAAGGATGTTGTTAACTATAGAAAAAAAGATTTGTATTTCATTTCAAAGCAAGTACATGAAAATATTTGTCAAGTAAAGGATAACTCTAAGAGCTCACAACAATATTCACAAAGCAGATTTTACGTGCGATAGGAAAAGCTTATACGAAAAGCTGTCAACATTATTTAAACACTTTATTGATATCTTTTGCCGAGACAAATTTGGAAGGCCTACGTGTTAAAAATTCGTCAATGTGTAGATATAACTTCAGATTAGAAAATTTTATCGTACAAAAAATACTTGATACAAATGAACACCACAGGAATAAATATGATGTTATTCATCAATTTTATTATATTATTTCATTTTGTTTTATTAGAAAACATCATAAGAAAAAAGGCGAACAATAGAAAACAATAGTTATATTTACATATGTTTTGCTTTTTCTCATTATTCTGGTTCCGTTTTATGAGTAGCATGCCGTTCATTTAATGTTATGACGTTCCCATCAGTATAGACTTGTTGATAGAATCTTGAACGTGTTCGTTTAAGTCGACGATCGATTAACTTCAATGTTATTAATAAAATTGTTATAAATACAATTAACATAAAAAATGTTCTAAAAAATGACGAATGTGACGCAGCAAAAGATCTTTGTCTATCCATATTATCATCGCCGCAATTTAAATCAACCAAGGCTAGATCACAATCAATACGTAATGATTTTTGTAATGGTTCATAAAAGTCGACTAGTGGCGGCGGTGGAGTTTTAAACCAATTTACAAATGATTTCAATGTACAATCACATTTGAGATGTTCATTTAAATAGAAATCGACGCTTAATAAATGATAATAATCATCTAGATGAACACCAGCATCGATTCGTTCAATGGACATATTTTGTAATGAAAGATGAGTTAAATATTGATGCCAAGGATAAAATACATTCCAATTAAGTGTACGATGTTCGCTCAATAGACGATTATTATTAAGAATTAATGTATGAATATCTGATAGATTATGAAGATAAATAAGATATTCAAATGAATCAAGTTTAATCGATGTTAAATCAAGATACTGTAATACTGGCAGATCAATATTAATGGCTGCTTCTTTGAATGATAATCTTGAATTATTAGCTAGTTGAAGTTTATAAGTCGTTCGACCGTGTAACTCTATTGATTCAAGTCTATTTTCTGATAAATCAATTGTATGTGGTGATTCATTATTCCAATTGATTTTAATAAATTCCATTTCATTTGATGACATATTTAATAAACTCATGAGAGATAAATCATACATACCATTACGATAATGGATTTGATTTATATCAATGATTTTCAAACGATTGAAACTTAGATCTAACGTATAAAATGTAAGATATTTAAGAAAATCAATTGTTTCTAAATGATTATGACTCAAATCGATTACGTCGATATGTAAAAATTTTAAGTTTGTATGAAAGAATTCAACAGAAAAGTCATTTAATGCTGTATGAGATATTATTAAACGTTGTAGATGAGTATAGTTCGACATAAGACGTAACATGAATCGATTTAAATAAATATTATCACTAAAATCAATGTGTGCTAAACGATCATAAACATTTAAATAAATATATTCAATATCATTATTAGATCGAGCTTGAATGCTTTCAAGATTTGTACTAAATAAGAGATCATTGGTTGAAATTGAAGCAACTAAATTTTGATCATTTAATATTAAATTTTTAATACATTTTATATATTGATTGAATAATTTTATTGAAATAGTATTTGTTCGTGTTAAATCAATCGTTAATTGATTTTTATTTAATTGTGAACAATTCGATAGAAATACTTCGTATTCCCATGTAGGAATATCTCGACATTGTTGACAGATAAGTGTTTGCAAATTTGGTAGTAATGTTATACTAAATAATTGTTTAATATTTGTAGCGGATAAATCCAGAGTGATAAGAGATGGATAGTCGCTGAGTTTGTTTACTATTGATTCTAGTGGATTATATGATAAAATTAATGTTTCAAGAGTAGCTAAACAATTTCCCTTTAAATTATTTATAGATGTAAGTTGATTGTGCGATAAATTGAGATAGCTGAGCTTCGGATAAAACTGACGATCGAATATAAGTTTTCGTTTATTAGTAAGTTGATTGTACGATAAATCTAGTTTAATTAACTGAGGAAAATATGATCCATTTAATTGTGACCATTGTACACCTTGTTGATCGCGAATATTCAATGTTTGAAGAACTCGGAAAAAGAGTCCACCTTCGAATACAAAATTCGATCCAGCTACCGACGAAGTAAATGTATTATTGATTAATGTTAAATTTTCAATATATGAACCCACTTGAACTAATAAATCACGTAGAGATAACTGAAAATATGAATCACGAATTCCAACATGGTGATTTTGAAGTGTATATGCTAAATCATTGAATAATGGTATAGAATGAGTAAATGTCGTGTTCCAACAAAAGAATAATGCAGTTCGATCATAGATACAGTGTGATGGTATTTCGTTCCAAAACGACGATTGAGCTTCTTTAATAAATAGTATCACGAAAAAGATGAAAGTTTGTTTACTAGCGTACATTCTACTGTACGCACATGAAAGAAGAAACAAAAATCAACAGAATATACTCTCATAAAGAGCAGCTCAAGATTTTTTTGTCTTTCCTTTTCTATCTCTCTTTCTTTTTCTCAGTAAGATCCTTTTTTCCTGGCAACGAAAAAAAAAATAATAATACAAGAGAGACAAAATCAAAACGCACACGAAAAAAACCTCTTTCTTTATGCAATGAATAACCAAATGTCGACGTAATGTAGCCCTATGCCGTTCAAGGCTATTTTGCCCTTCTTTTTCATTTTCCTTCTCGTTCTTATTTCAATAAGAAAAAAAGCATAAATTATTGGACAATTTGAATGACGAGCGAACAACGTATTATCACCATAAAATAATAGAAATAAAAAGGCTTCATTTTAAAAATAGCACATACATACATATCGAAGTGTATCAATATTAACTGAACAACCGAATCTAACAGAGAAAGGTCAAACAGAATCAATGGTCGGCGTCCTCGTTTTTCTTTTTTTTGCTTTATATCACTAATTGCATAACGGAAAAAAAGTTGATCTAGAAAAAACAAGTCCGCTTTTTAATATGTCAGAATTATATAAATTAGAAACGAACAAATCTCTACTTACTATTGTTCGGATAAAACAACATAAATAACACGCGAACTAAAAACAAGTAGATATAAATACACCTAACAACAAAACAAGTCAGCTTCATTAATATTCTTAAGCATTTCATGGCAACATCAAACAATTCATTCCGTCGTCCAGCATCTGCATCGACTGTTGCAACAAACTGGTCTCAAAATACATCAGTATCCGTTGGACATAATGTTTCTAATAGGCATATACCTATCATCAAAGGTGATGTCAATTTTGTCAATGCAAGTAGTACTGCAGAGCCTGATTCTGACGATGCTGTTCCATCACATTATATAAAAGAAGTATTGGCTCATCTGTCTCAATCACCAATCGATTCAATCGATAATGAAGATGCACTTGAAGTCATCTATGATCTATTCTATATGCATTCACCCTTGAATCAAGATGATTCCCGCATAGCACGTTTACTCATCGAAAGTGATTATTGTCGTAAAGTTCATCAATTTCTGATTGAATTTATGAAAAATGGAATCTACAGTAATCCATCAATACGTCGTTCAACACAATTTATTCTCTATACACTATGGAATTTTAGTGGTACATGCATAGAATTTCGAGTTCATTTATCAACTCTTCAATATTTTGTTCAATTTTTATTAATAAATTTTTTAGAATATTTAAAAAATTTAAAATCCGAACCACTTTATACATCGCTGACAGAGAATTTAATTCAAGCAATCATAAGTATTATGCATAATTTAACAATCAATGTCAATCATTTGAATGAAGAACAAACATTTCATATTATTGAACAACTTCTCGTTGAACAAAAACCAAATAAAACGAATGAACGTTATCGTATAACGCTGCTTCTTTGTTTAATTAATCTTAATGCTCAACAAGTTTATGAAAATTACAACACGTATCAAACAACGTTTAAAACGCTTTTTCATTTTCTAAAAAAAATTGTTCAACATGAAATTCTTATGATACGAACAGGTTTATCAGCATGGGTTTTAGCATCTGCTATTAATAAGATGCCAATCGATGTTGTACTTATGGACGGTAATCGTCTTTATTCATTCATGATTTTATTTAAACGTGGAATGCGAGAAGAAAAATTACAAGCTTGCATAACATTAAATCGTTGTATTCAAAATTCAACACATGCAAAGCAAATTATAGAAAAAGATATTGCATGCTGGAATTCATTCCAACAGTTTAAAGTTTTTCTTCAAGAAGAACAAAACAGTTAATTAAGTGTCGCTATACATTGATGAATTATACGTATCCTCATCGGATATAGTACTTAACGGATGACGTACATGATTGTAAATCGTATCGCTTGATGTTGTTGTTCGAATATCATTTGTACTACTATTATGACTTTCTGTTCTTAAACGATTTTGATCACTAGTCGGCAATGGTGATGATCTCGATAAATTTTCTTCGTTCTCATAAGCAAGAAAGCTTAGTCGTTGGTCGGGATTAAAGAGAAAAAGTAGATCACCATTTTGTACACCATAAGAGGCTAGTGTTCGCTGATGTTTTATACGTTGATCACCAACTTCTAGGACAAGTTGATTTGTAGGTAATTGTAACTGTTCACGTTCAGCTATACGACGTATCAATGTTTCACATGAATCTCGAAGGTAATTGCCAATGGGCATTTCAATTGTTAAACGTTTTACTTGAGAGTTTGTTGTAGTTATTTTACGTACGGCGATATAAAATTGTACTAATTTACCACTAGAAATGCCCGACGAAAAGAAAACAGGAAAAGAAACAAGCTCTAAGAATAGTAAAAATATAAAATAAAAATACCTGAGTAATTTTGATCTTTTAAAGGATTCATCATGACTATTTGGATCTAAATGATAGAGATTATTCGTTCGTTTTCGTTTCCCTCTTAATTATAGATATGTTTCAGTTCATACCGTGTCGATGTGCTCGTAGGCATCGATCACAAACCATGAAATTACAATGACGACATAAACGTAACGATGAAAATGTTTCACATGACGAACATTTAGCAGTCGCACCAACATTCAAGGAACTATTGCCTGATGTCATTAGTCTTGACCCTGTTGGCATACCTTGATCATCGAGAAGATTACGAACAACAAAATTAGGTGGAAAAACACCATCTTCAGGAACTAAATGTTGTTTTCGACATTCTGGACAACTTCAATCAGCAAAAAGAAAAGAAAAAAAGATGATTGTAACTTTGTTCTCATTTTAGTTAATTATCTAGACATCTTACGTTACGACATCACTGTCATTTTGCATTAAACGATTGAGACATTCGTCACAATAGGTATGACCACAAGGAAGAAGACGAGGTTCAGTATAGGCTGTCAAGCAAACAGGACATTGAAGTAATTCTTGTAAGCGTTGTGTACGTTGTGATGGTGGCCTAAAAAATATGTTAATTGTACAAGTTCAAAAATGTCTTCAAAAGCAAGCGAAGGTTATTGCTATATTAATCCAAAATTAATCTTGATGTGCTCTAAAATGTCAAGGTATTGATAGATAAGCTTCTTTGAGTTTTTTTCTTCTTTTGAATATTGAATATTGGATTATGTAATCCGAGTCATATTGAAACAAGTCCTTTTCGTAATATGAAAATTTAGCTACCTTCTTCGACGACTTGATGATCGCCGTTTGAAATTACTGGGAACAGTAACTCGAGCTGGCCGTTGACGTTCCTGAATTGGTGCTGGTACAACGATTGGTCTTCGATTGACACCGAACGGTGCATTTGTTGCATGTACTCTACCTGTAGCACGTCTTCTAGGCATATCTGGTACAATCGGTGTGTTCAATGCACGTACTGCTCCTCGACGATGTCCTCCTCCACCACGATTGAATATAGATGGAGGTGGCGGTGGTGGTGGTGGCTTTCGTCGTTTTTTTGGTTTTAAAACAGGGGCATCCCCGATGTCTAGTGAACCTAAAACCTCTTCGCCAGGAGGTGCATCGCCAAATAATTGATCGATAGTTGTATCCCATTGTGGTGCATTGGGTGCTGATGGTACATCACTACTGCTTCCAGTATTATCAAGTTTATCATCACCAAAACCTAAAGCTCGAGTTAGTTTGGATGCTGTTTTGCCCATCGTTCAATAATACACAAAAAATAACTTATGTCCGAAGAAGGAAACTACAGATGCATGAAAATACGTGTCCTTCTTTACATCGTCGTCATGCATCACTAACTAACGATAGAGTGTGCACGAAAAAGAAACGCGAATGAATGAGTAAATGTTATTATTCGTTGTCGTCATCATACTGATGTAAAATAGAAGAATAGATCTATATCATACGTTAAGCTTCCTTTTTCTTCTTCTTCTTAAGAATAAAAATTGCATCATGTATCCAATCGAAACAAAAAAAAGAACTAAACGTAAAATCTCTAATCTCTGTTGCATTTTCTGATCATTCAATAAAAGCTTGGTGTTAAACTTCACACTCGCACAGTACAATATAATTTTATTTTCAATGATGTTAAGAAAAAGACAAAAAGAGAAGAAGAAAGAAGTGAAGCAAACGACATGAAAAAAGAACAAAAACTGATGGTGAAGAATAGTAAAAATAAAAATTAAAGAACATGAAGAAGCAAAGGAAGACAAGTCTGTTTATTCAACACCGGGATTAAAATAAGAAATTGTTGTTGTTCAATTGATTGTGTTCTTTTTCTAACTCATGTCCATTGCTTCAGCATTGTTATTCGTATTAAAACTAAATCCAGATGATGATTGCTGTTGCTCAAGAATAACTGTATTATATAAATCATGAAATTCTTTCGAACTTTTTACACTTGTTTCAAAATCATTAATACATGCAACTTTATTAGCATCTTTTATTTGTTGTAGTGCAAGAAATACTTTTATCGCTGCACGACGTAATTCATCATGCTTTTCAAATTCTTGTTTTATACTGTTTGCTTTTACTTTTGATTGTAAAATTGTTTTTAATGGTTGAACAAGACGATCAAGTCGTTGTAATACAATTGTTGGACAAAGTATTGATAAACGTACAACCATAAGAAAAGTTAACATGCGTATATCATAATGATCTTGTTTGAGACCATCTTCAACATATGTTAAGTAATCGAACATATCAAGTTTATCGAGACACGCTAAAGAAGATTAATGATGTTAGTATTAAAAAACAAAATAGAAATGTAATATTTTCATTAAAGAAAAAACAAAGGAAGTTACAATCTATTAATGTATAATTAAATTTTAGACATCCTATCAAGACTAAAGACAAATGTTGTAATTTTGCTCGTGTTCGTAGATGCATAGAATTTATTTTATGCGATAAAATGAATCGGAAGATATGATTCGAATTGGGGAAAATTTTTCTCGCCTAGTTCGTAAGAGACAATCCGTCCCGCATAGAAGAATAACGAGGAGAGAATACGCAAAATTCCATAAAGAATCTAAATGAATAAAGGAAATTGTTTTTCTAACACAGTTCTCAGAGGAATAAAAATCTTTGCTATATCTCCGTGTTGTCTACGAAAACATTCTAGATAAAACGACATCGAATTTGTATTCATTATAGAAGCCAATATCATCTATATATTATAAACACCAACGACATATATTGTTCTATTGTGTATACGTACTGTCTAATAATGTGTACATGCATTCATAAGCTGCTTTTCGAAGATCAAGACCGTCTACAAAAAAGAGCAAAGAAATATTTCGTTAAAAAAAGAATTTCTCTTTTTGTTTTGTCAAATTTTACCATCAACAGTATGTTTAAATGGGCCCATTTCAACTTCACGAATAAGTTCTGGTCGTACACGAGTTTCATTATAAAGTTTAGGTAAAAGTTCTTTGAGTAAATCACGTATTAACATTGGTTTATTATGTGCAGCTAAACGAAAAGCATGAAGAATTAAAAAAAAAAGCATTGCTTAGAAAATTAATTCTACAAACCAGAATTAAACATGACAAGTGCAACGCGTCGAACATCAATATCTTTATCTTCAAGACCATTCAAAAAGTCTTTAATATAACTTTTTAGAATTGCATCAATATGTTGTGGTTGATCAACAATAGTAAATTTAATTGCTGTTATGATGGTTGAGCGAACATAGGGTGATGCTGATTTTTGTTGTTCTGTATGATTAACAAATGTTTCACGTAAAATTGGTAATAATTTTTCAGCTTTTAATAATGTCAGTTTTCCTAAACATTCAGCAACAACATTTCTTGTACCTTCTTCGGGACATTCACAGTGTGCAAATAATGTACGCCAAATTGAGTCGATATGTTCATCGAGTTGTGGTAAATTTTCATGATTTTGATATGCTATAATTTCACGTAATGAATGTAATAGAAGATATTGACGTTTTGTTTGACTACGTGCGATTTCACTTAATAAGAATGGAATGTGAGAGTTCAAATTTCGAATTCCAATATAACCAAGAGTATAGGATGCTGCCGTGCGTAAGTCATCAGATTGAGAAGAAAATATATCAAGTAAGATTTGTTGAAGATTTGATGATGATTGAGCTAAATCAGTGTATTTACCTAAGAGAAAATAATTTCAATTAGAAAAGATCAATGAAAACGTTTCCTATAAGAAAAGCTCGAGTGAATCAAATATTTGTCAATTTAACTGGACAGTTTTAGATTGGATCCTATGCTGCGATAGTGTCTCAACAACAGCTTTTCATAATTAATCATTTAAAGAATTCTTGCCTGTCAATTGTTATATAGAAAACCGGAATGATAATCCGCCTTAAATGGAATAGCGTGTTAATTATTAGTTTGAAAAATCGCATATCGGATAGAAAAAATGAATTCTAAGAACCATACAAATTAGAGATACCAATTGCTAGATAATTACTAAGGTTGATGATAATTTACAAAACAATGCGAGTAAGTCGTAAAACAAACGTAAATTGATTGATGGTAGTTAAATCACTTGTATTTTTTTTATTCTGTATAAAAAATACAAAAAAAAACTCGAGTGATGATTGTCTTTTCACAAATTCTCGGATGAAAGAGCGGACGAGCATATCTGACCTACATCTAGTAACAGAGATAACGCAGCTGTGTTCATGATAATAGATATGTATCTGTATAGTAATTATTTATGCTATTATTCTTGTTAATCTTTATCAGATATTCTTCATCGCTGTTACTATTAATTAGAGATGCACAATGATAGAATACTGGAAAAATAAATAGCAGATGTTCAAAGTCAGCATTTTGATGCTGAATTAGTTCTTTCGTGCAAAGAATATTAACTCAAGTAAAAGGGCATTCTTTACTACAGAGGTGTTCTTCTAACGCTCAAAACAATGTACTAGTGTCGACCAATTTAAACTCGTAAGTAGTCTATAAATAATCTGTATCTTACCAGTTTCACCAAGACAAAGTAATGCTAAAATTTTAATTGAATCACTACATTTTGAATCATTCAAATCTTCTTGAAATTTCTTAACAAAATAAGCACTTTCTTTTAAATTAGCAACTGTCAATGAAGCGAAGGATTTTGCAATAGAATAAAAAGCTTGCCGATGAACAACTAATTGTTGTTGTTGTTGCTGCTGCAGATGAGGATGGTGATCATTTGTAGCTGCACCAACTGTTGATGTAGTTGTTTTTTGTTGGGAATAGATCGGTTTAATTAATAATTTAACTAATTCTTCATAGGATATCGATTGTGATACAAGTGCGCAGAAAAATTCAATAACAGCATCTAATGCTGTACCTTGTAATAAAGGTGATAGAATTAATTCAAGTACTTTATTTAATATTGGCTGAATTTGATCTTTATCAATATTTGTTTGATTATTATTTATTTTGCACATTGATGTTGTTAATTTAAGTGCATATTGTGCTAATAATAAATCATTTTCATTAATCAATGATGGTAATTCAACGAGAATCGTTTTAAGAATAGTTTTATTAAAATGTTTCGAATATAATTTAATCATTGAACGTAAACATGATAGGGTGTTCATTTTAAGTGTACGATGATTTTGTCGAAGATACGATGCTAGTATTGGAACAGTTTCAACAAGAACTATTTGTAAATCAAGATGAAGTGGCGATTCAACAATGCTTGTTAATGCACGCACAGTTGGTAAACGCGTTATTTCATTGCGAAGAAGTTCAGTTAATATTGGCCAACATGATTGTAATTGATCAGATGATAGAAGATCACCTAAAATTTAAAGAAAAACAATTTTTTTAGAGCTTCGCTCAGCATGAAGAGCATGCTGTTCTTTGGATTTTTCTTTTCTTACCTAGATAAACAATAACATAAGCAAAACATGTAATGGCTCTTTCTTTAACTTCTTGATCGAAGTCTTTTTGTTTTAAACGTTTTAGTGTACACTCATAAATTTGTTCAACAAACGGTTTAAATTCAGTTTGAATTGTTACTGTTGATTTTGGACGAATAATTTTAACTGATTCTTGTAAGACAAGTAATGCTTCACTAGCTATTTTATAGAATGAATCATTTGCATGCGAAATAATTAATGGTAACATTAATTTAACATGTTTATGAAAACGTGCTGAATCATTATGTGTTTGTAAAAGTGCATAGAGAAATGCTAAAGCCGTTATTTTCAAATTTGAATGTAAAGATTTTGATATTGTTTGCGTTGATTTTCCTTCTGTGTGAGATCCTTGATTTTTTTTTGTTTTATCTGATATTGACAATGAATGAAGTGTATTGGGTAAAATAATATCAATATGATCAATGAGAATATTATGTTGAACTTGAACAAGATTTGTTAATACAACTAAACTACCTTCACGATTTTTTGTATCTTTATCTTTCATAATTTTTGCTAGAGAACGAACAATTAATGGTACATATTCAGCTAATGGTGATACATAAGAAGTTTTTGTTGTTAAATGATCTGTATCCATACTATTTTCATCATCGTGAATCGATGAATAGATTGTACTATGTTGTTGTTGATGTTGATGTGCATAAGTTGTTTTTGTTTGTTGAAGAATTGTGATAAAACAATGAAATATATCTGCTTTAACTGTATTTTCACGTTCAAGAAAACGTTCAATTAAAACAGGTACAATTTTACGATAACAATTTGTTTGTAAAATATCATGTTGAGTCACAATAACAGCTTCAATACATTTAGCAGCCGAATGGCGAACTTTCCATGAGAGATCATCATCATCTGAATATGAATCTTGGTCTAAAGTGAATGAAAAAATAATAATAATAAGATCAATATGTCATTTGGAAAAAGTATATCAAAGATTTTAGAAGATGCGATATCGATAGGAGCAAACAATAATGTTCTGTCTTGCATAAGAGTCAATATCTCATTAACCTTTCACCGGTTTGCTGCGTCCTGTCCGGAAAGAAAATACCGATAGATCGTAGACGAATGACTTTTTCCTTATGACTGAAAATAATCTTAATTTGACTTTTCATCTATCATCTATTATATGACTGCGAGATAAAAAAAAAATTATTTTATGACTTCTTTTATGTATATGTAAATAATCATTCATTGCTTTCTAACTGATTAATATAGTTATAAGTATTCTCATCGTGAGTACACAAGAGTAATAAAACAATGCGATACTACCACTCATCGATCGACAACGACCTATCCCTAGAAGTTTAACTATCACTTGAAATATTTCAATTATATTTGTCTTTTTTTTTCTTCTCGTTGAAACTTTCATGGTATACTAATGTTACAATCTTATCTATTTAGAGAAATCAATACCTTTATCATCATCACCATCATCATCGTCGCCACTTTGATCATCGCTCATCGTATTATCATCATCTAAATAAAAATTTAACAATAATAATAATAATAATTAAAAACAAAAAGATTGACAAATTAAATTAAATTACCATCATAATTAAAATTTGGATCATATTTCAAATATATAATACAAATGTCAACGATTTTTGTTACGAATTGATTCGTTTCTTTTGGACAACGTTTTAAATATGTTTCAAGTGCTTGTAAACAATACTCAATCAGTTCATCGTCATACTGCTGATCATCACTACTATTATTTGACGGAGTATTTTCAATAAATGAAAGTGTTATTCGAACTATCTCATGCATATGTTCGCTTAAACGTTGCGAAGCCAAACGACATATTGATGTTAAAGCTTGAACATAAGTTTTAACTGAAACAACAAGAAGAATTTTTATAAAAATAAAAATTCATTTTCTTTTGCTTTTGCTTTTTTATTCTTACTGGTTGTATTCGTATCAGTAGATTTAGATGGAGGTGCACGTTGAAGTTCATTAAGTAGATGAGTAAGAATTTCATTGAAAAGTGCAAGATCACATGTCTCCAATAGATAACTAGAAATAAAACGATACATTTTAATAAAATAACTTCTTTTTACATTAGAATTGATTTCTTTTCTTGTTGATGAAATTTTTATGAATAAGAATAGATTAATTCTCATTGAATTTAAGAAATTTCATCAAATTTACTTTTAGCTACATGCGAGACCTAGAATATATATGGAGAGACTATTCTAGGGCAGTAGGCAGCTGATTACAATCATGTATTCAGTTTAAGAATACAATGAACATTACTTTTCTAGAGATATTAAGAGAATAGATTCATTCAAGTCTTTGATGCCATAAATGTTTCACACTTGAAATCATCTCGGTAAATTCTATACTGGAATAATTCACACGATGATAGTTTGACACTAGTGAATTAATACACTGCGTTGTATATAGATTAAAGTTTTTATGAAAGCATTTCGAACAGTCATCATAATAACATGTGAAATACGTTGTGACATATTCTTGTTATATAATAAGTTAGTATCAATAGATACTTCAAGTATTTCGATGGGAAAATGTTGCATTCAACTTTCTTCCCACTACTTCAAATTGTTCGAGTTCGTTATTCATGAGTATTTTCCCTACAATTCATTGCGCAGCAATGACTTATATTTGCGCATTTCGTCAAAATTGTTCTCTTTTGAAGAAAAAAAAACCAACGTAAATGGCATGGCCTTGCAGAGTTCAATATCCTATCGATTGCGTTATTGCATGCAGTTATTCGAGAACAAAAACTGTTCTTTGTTTGTAACAAAAATTCTTACGAAAAAATCTATATCCACGAAAATTTATATACCTAAGAGAAGTGATAACACGTTTTCTAACAGCCGATCGATTTGAACTTAAATGACTCAATAAAATTTGTTTTAATGACGAATGAAAAGATGATAAGTTGGCACCAAATTTCGATAACATATCACTAATAATGTCTAATATTTCCAGTTGACTTTGTCCACCATTAGCTAAGTCGAATGCATTATTTGTTTTCTTTGAATTCGCATTATTAGATATTGTTGTACCCTGTTGAATAGCAGCTATTAGTCGTTGCATAATCTTTTTCGATATATTATTTGTAGCTCCTGAATTAGTTGCTGCCAATGAAGCAATAACAGTTTTTAAACCACTGCTTGAGATATCACGTAGTTGCTCAGCATCTTTAGACATATTTGTACAATTTGAACATAATGTATCACATATGATTTCAATTTGTGGTTCTTTTACTTTGCATACTAATGGACCAAGACATTTCACAGCTTGATTTTGAACCTCACCATTGGTATCTTCTAATAATTTTAAAACACCTTTCACAATACGACGTTCACTATCATCATCTAATTTAATGGATTCTTTTTGTAAATCATTCATTAAATCCGATGTTGCCATGAAGCGAAAATCTTTATCACTCGATGACATTTTGTCTAATAACGATCCGATATGTGTTGTAGATGCCACAGACATTTTTAGTTTTTAAAAAAGACGATTAATATTGAGAGAAATTGTAATTTTTGCTGACTTTGAAGTGCTTGTTTACTTATTTGTATACATGAAATGCGGATATCGTGGACAAAAAAAGAAAGAATATAAAGAAGTGTTTGTAGATTAGTTGAGATAAATACCTAAAATAAAATTTCAATGATGCGAAGTGAAAAAAAAGGAAAATTCATCGAAAATAATTATGATTTTATTTTATTTTATTCTCTCATATCAATGCAAAATGAAGGTTCAAATAAGATAGACATGGCGAATATTGACCAATCAAACAGAGGAATTCTTAATAAGGGCGAGTTTTGAATGAATAATGATTTATTGTCTATAGTTCCTATTTTTTATTTTTTAATTAGGATGAATCGAAAAGATAAATGATAAATTTTAATTGAATTTAATTATTTTTATCGAAGAAAAAGGTAAAGATTTTCAATTACTATTAATCCGTTTGACCTTCCGTTATCTCAAATGATATATTCAAACGAAAAAGAACACTTTGTTTTTTCTTACAATAAGCTGAATATATTCTTAGCCATACTAGAAGGTCCCTAGAGTAGGCTAAGGATGTTAAAATGCCGAAGCCGTATTTATTATTTCGTAATGCAATTGTATTTGTATGGATTTTTTTAAAATTTATTAGAATAAACATTTAAACAATAGTTCGCATGGATACCGAGCAAATTCTTTTTTCTCATTTTTTGTTAATGAAGAAAAAAGCATAAAAAATATTGACATGCAAAAAACATTCATTCGGAACGTTTTTTAATCAATGCAATCATGTTTCTCATACAGGTAGTTTCGACTGAGAAAAAAAAGGTTTTTGTCCGTTTTCATCAATGAGCAGCGATTACATTCAATTGATTTCGAAATCTATTTAAAAAAGAAACTAAAATGAAATATATTTTATCATCATCCCGAGTAAGTCATATCGTTTGTTTGTTTTTCTTTTCGTATGGATTTATCGAATATTGGATTATATCAGGAAAGAATAGTTTTAAGAACCCTATATTTTTTTGTTCGTTCGCGTGTGTACAAAATGAATGCGAAACAATCTCATCGAGTGCCACCAACTGTGTGCAAGAGAAGCCACTAAAAACGGTTATATTTGTTGAAAAAAAATGAATATATATTACAATAACAACAACATCATGTTCGTTCTTGATGTTGTCAATGTCAAAAATTCGCACATACAGATTATTTCATGAGTATTAGTAGTAGTGAAGAAAGTGAATATTATATTTCACCAAGTCTATTATCGTCAACGATGACGGTAATATCACCGAGAAAACAACTAAAGAAAAAAAACACAAGATCAAAACGATACATAGGTTCTACTAAACATGTAAGAAAAAATCACAAGGATTCACGACCAAAAAAAAAGATAATAAATCTTTTTCATTTTATTTATCTATTCTTATTTTCTTTTTATTCTTATATCAACAATAGATGGATACAATACGACGATGTCAAATGAAGTTATTAGACGATAGGAAACTTGATCTGTCTGTTACTGTAAGTTATAAATTAAAAGTTTTTTTTTTGAAAGCAAACATTATTAAATAAATCTTATTGTGTATATTAGAACAAACAAACAGTAACCGATTTAATAAATGAAATCAGTCGACAATATCATTTAAATGAAACAGAATATTTTGGTATTTATTATGAAGAAAAGTAAGTTATTTATGATGTAAAATGATTGTTACATTAAGAAGAAAAACGAAACAATATGTACATTTAAAAAGTCCTTCAAATCGTTCTTTACCTTTAAGAGTAAATCGTTTGTTTGAAATTGAAAATAAATATTTATTGCCAAATTGTCATGTACTAATGGTAGTTCACTTGTTTTTTGTTAAAAAAAATCAAAATGCTTTTTATTTGATCAATTTTTACAAAATGATAATATGAATTTTCACAAAGACAATGATTGACTTTTCGGATACAAGAGCACTTTTACTGAATCAACTTTTCTAAAAGATGAAAACTCCCTTTCTTATGTAATCGTTTCAAATATTCACTTCCGTTTTCTTTTGAATAAACCTATATTTCTTTCATTTCAAATATGAATACTCCTAGATTTTATTTCTTTCAATTCTATTACCCCCCGTTTACATACAAGGCTGCTGTAAACTTTGAAATAGTAATAAACAAAATGACATGACTATTATATGCAAATAATTTGTCATGCATTATCCATGGTAGTTTAATCGTAGGTATTTCAATAATTATAATGTTGATGATGAAAATTTTTATTTTAATGAAGCCTGACAAGTGACCTTTCTTTTACATTGATTTTATTGAATCATGTTTCTGAATGAATTGTAATCTTCTTTTTTTCTTCTTTTGCTAATGTCAAGTGATGAACGTATGTGGCTTCCATCTGATAAAAAAATGCTCGATCAAGAAATATTTAAACGTGATTCATCACCTCCAGTCCTTTATTTTGCAGTCAGGTATAGAATTTTAATTTATTCGATATAAAAATTTTAATCTGATGACTTATTAATTAGATTCGTATTTAAATCATTTCTATGGCTACAAAATGCAACTACAGTTATGCTTTTCTTTTTGTCGACACGTTATTCTATTTATCGAGTAAGATATCTTTTTTGTTTTGAAATTAAAAATCAATGAAATATATGATGATGATGATCATAGGGAATGATCGATACCAATGATAATACATTATTCCAATTAGCTGGTCTTGTTGTCCAAGCAGTTGCTGGCGATTATACAAAGTTCGTAGCGTTTGTTCTTCTCGTTATTCTATAATAAGAACTTTATAATTAGCGATGAGGCAGCAATCAATATCATCAAACGCGTGTGTGTTCTACCAAAACGTGTTGTTGATCGAAATATTTCCAGAAGATATTGGTAAAATATTTTGAATTACTTTGGTGTATAGTTCCTTTTCTTTTAAAAATTTTCTTCGTATATTTATAGTGAAGATCAAATAATTAATCAATATAAAGGATGTCGTGACTTTGCACGAGGTTTATGCGTTGTTAAGTAAGATTATATATTGGATTAAAAGAAAACTCATTATTTTATTTTTCATTTGATGTTTATTAGATATTTGATGCTAGCCGAAAATCTACCATCATATGGTTCACATTATTTCCTTGTTCGAGTAAGGATGAAAATTAATAAGAGAGCAAAGAAACATCGTTTTCATGATCTTTTAGAATAAAAATAATGTCTACGCTTATTTGGGAATATCATTTGTTGGCATTTCTGTATATAATTATCATGATCGTGAAACACCAATTAAAGTAAAATTTAATAAAAAACTGAAAACGACTTATTTAATCATGTTTTTTTGCTTTTAAGATTTATTATTGGAGACAATTAGAAAATTTATATTATCGTGATAGGAAATTCTCTTTAGAAGTTCATGATTTAGAGTAAGAAGAATTTTAATTAATTTACATTTCGAATAGTATTTTGTTTTGGTGTAGAACAACACATTTTTTGTCATCTTCATCAATTCCAACAAATACTTCTACTCCAGAAACCGATGATAAACTTATTGATGCTATTCATGATCCAACCACACAGTAGAAAATTTTACGCTTATAAAGTGTTTTTTTTTAAACAGTTGTTCTCTTGATTAGAATGTCTGCCGGCCGTCGAGTTCCTCCAACACCAAATATTAAAGTTCGCGCATGGTTTACAAATTCACCACAATATTGTAAAGCCATTTGGTCTATGGCTGTAGCTCAACATCAATTTTATCTTGATAAAAGAAATTGTCGTGTATGTGCTTAACTTCAAGAGAAATTAGTTCGATTGTGTTTTTCTTTTCTTTCATAGCAAAATCAATCATTACAAATAAATGATCTTGTACGTGAATTAAGTAATTCATCAATAACATTAACCATTGACAATGCTGCATCAAATGGTTCATTGTCTCGATCGAACAGTGGTAATGAAAAATAGAAAAAAACGAATTATGCTTTCAAAATTTTTGTTTTCTTTATTTAAGCTTCAACTAATGTTGTACAAAATGAACAGATTGAAGCTGATGTCGAACAATTAATGGATTTAATGAAAACACGAAAACAACAATTAGAAAGTTTACTGAATGATAAAACGAAAGATTTTGGTTTAATTTGCGTTCTTGAAAATGTTTGTTGAGAAAAATGTTTCTTGAAAATTTAAATTGGATTTTTTAATTTTCTAGCAAGTCACTGGTGAAGCATGTGATGAGCATGTTAATATTAATGATAGTGGAATACAACAAGAACTAAAATATCATGTTATTGATGAATTATTAAATGAGCAATTACAAGAAGTAAGAAGAAGATCTTTTATTAATTGCATACCCATGTAAAACATTTTATCCAAAAAAGTAACTATTAAGTACTTTCGATAGTAGATTTTACGCAGGGTAAAGGACTTATAGGTGAACTTTTTTAAGTACTTGTCATACTTCTTGACTAAAAAGTACTGAGAAGTACTTTTGCAAGTAATAAAAGTATGATAAAGTACTATAGAAAGTGGAAAAATTATCAGAACGTACCATAAAAAGTGAAATATAGTAAGAGAAATTACTTTATTTTACTTTATTACTATTAAAAGTGACTTTTGGTTCACTGTTTCTTACGTGGGTGCTCGATACATGTATTCATTGCGTTCGAATCTCTAGAGATATCAATAAATGAGAATGATTCCCCTTAGATACAACAAAATGAGAATTTAGCGTGCGAATAATGATCTTCATATATGAATGAAATTCAGAAAAAATAACAATCAATCGATGAGTTATTGATTAGCTGTATAGGCAGGTATTGTTCAGATGATATTAAAGGAAAAGTTAATGTGAAAAATTAAAAAGAAAACTTTGTTGTTAGAGTCTCAAGATAATTGATTTGATCTCTGAGTGCATGACTAATTTGAAAAGGAAACCAACTAAATAACATAGCAACTATTTCATACATAGATATTAGTCCCTACGGATAGCAAAACCTTTCAGTGTGACATTTAAAAAAAGCATGGTCAACGTTCAAACAGTTAGCGAAAAATAAAATCTAAAATCTTTCTAGCTTTGATAAAATCAGCGATGACATTTTACTTTTAAATAACATTCGAATATAATGATCGAAAGAAAGAGGTTACAATACATTATTCATCAAATCGTTTGGTAAACATTCATATGTTTGTTCAGCTGTGTTTTACAACGAAAGTCGTAAGCAAACTTGACTTCAAATAAATTTCTGGCAAATATTGAAACACAAAAAATTGAGCGTACAAATTTAATTACGATTTTTTGTTCGTGGAGATAATTTATACAAATAAAATCTACCCAATGTTTTCACACAGTATTGAAGATTTTAAAAACATTCTAAATTTTGTTTATCAGTACTCCCAACAACAAGTGCTTGTTATAATTTCACGGACGACAGAGCAACTAATGCTCCATAAAATAACATGTCTATGGGCTCTTGACAATTTGTTTTGACTAAGTTACGTCAATTATAAAAGAAAAAAGAATGTCTATTTTGTGAACTGCGGCCTTTGGATACAGTGGAAAATAATCCTATTTGAGGAATATCGTCATAGTGAGGCCTTTCTCATCAAAACATGTTATGAAAAACAGAGCAACATCTAATTTTGACGAATCACAAGAAAAAAACGATTATCTCAGATATTTAAATCACGTCACTATATCTTAATAACTACTTTTCTATGGTAACTAGATAACAAAATTGAATCAATTAAAACAAGAACATGATATTCAAAGCAAAATAGTAATTTGTGCAAAAAAACTATTGTATGATCAAGCAAAAGGAAACTCAAATTTATTAGATTCAGTTTTGAAACAACGTTTTGAATTTTATACATGTGTGAAAGAAAAAGTAAATTGTTTTTGTTTTCAATCAATGCAATTCTTATCTATTCTCAATATTTTCTTTTTAAGCTTGATCGATTAACGAAACTAATCGATACTGTACAAAAAGAAATCAATTGTCGTTATCCCTATGTTGAGACTAGTCCAAGTAAATCATAGAAATTATTGGCTTCTTTTGCCGCATAAAATATATTGATCTTTTGTTTTTAGTTAAATCATCTACCGCTACGAGTGGTAGTCCACCGCCGAATTCATATACTCAACGATATCAACAGCGCAAAAAGAGTTCTTCCCCAACAGTAGATATCTTTTATTGCAAAGAAAAATAATGCATTTCTTCGTCTAATATAGCAATTAAATCGAACATCATCGTATAAACGAGCTTTAGTACAAAATCAACGTACTACTCCAGCAGCAGCAGTAGGCACCGATGGCCATCCATCTGAAGTTGATAATAAAGTTGTTTTATCACCAAAATTAGATAGAAGGTAAATTAAATTTGATTCTGACATCTAAATTTTACTATCGCTATAAGCAAACTATTAAAAACTTCTTTTTTGCTTAGTCAATCTTCGGATCGTCTTGCTAGTAATCTACCTTCTGATTCATCAACTAATCGTCAACAGCATACAGCCTATATACTTCAACCTCATCCAGTGAATTCTTCAAATAATACATCACGTACTCGAATGCGTGATCGTAGAAATCAACCAAATTCACGTCATGACCAAAAAACAATATCAACAAGTAGTTCAATGCTTGATGAACAATCGCAACCGCAACAGCAACAATTACCACAGCAACAACAGCAACAGCAACCACTACCACTACCACCACCGTCATCCTCATCCTCATCACAGATGCGTAGTCTTGATAGACGACATGTACGTACTGTACCACACAATTCTTCAATTAACTCAAAAATATCAAAACCTCATATGAAATCCAGTCATACGGATATATATGGTAGTCTTGAACGTAATAAACATAGTAAAGTGTCTCAGCCAGCATTGCATGGCACAATAATCGATGATGAAAATGATCATATAAATAAAAGTGATAATCAAGCACATGATTTCTATCATTTAACGTCAACATTACCAACACAAACAGCTACGACATCAACTGTTATTAATGTTGGTAATATACTTCAACAGCAACAACAATTATCATTCGATCATATTGATTCAATACCACCACCATTACCAATGACATCATCATCAACAACTCGATCTCGCCGTCTACCACCACCATCTGTCTTTCAACCACATTTTGATTCATCAACAACCACACCTAAAGATAGTTATTATACAATATCAGGTGCAAAAGATGTATCAACACATCCACATACACATATTCGTGGTCTTGTTGCCGATAATTTCTATAATGGACCATTCCCAAATAAACCACCACCCATTCCACCTCATCAACCACAACAACCATCAATGCAACGATACGATACATCACCTTTACTTGTTCGACGCTTGGATCATATGCATCCAACTCAAACAAGATATCAACCTCAAACATATAATCGTACACAATCAAGCACAATGATGACAACATCACAAGTACCAACAGGACGTTTAAATACAATAAATCATAATCCACCACCACCACAACCATCATCATCTTCATCATTACTTTTTCGTCCACATAGTTCACAATCATCGAGTTCACAATCATCTGGGTAAGAAAATTTCATTTTTAACATGAAAAAATTGTTTTAATCGTAAAATTAATTTTTCTTTTTGTTTAGACCTAATTCTGGAAGTTTACATGTTGCTGAAGAATTCTCGGATGATGTACTTGGCTGGCTTAATACTAATCACGGAAATTCTGCCACTCTTGTGTGATGATATTTCTTTCTGTGTTTTTTTTTGTCCATTTCGCTCTTATTCCGTTATCTATCGATGTGCCATTGGGGGGAAACACGTGCATGTTTATTTTTTGCCCTTATATTACAGTCAGTTTGCAATAAAAAAGAAAAATTTAAACAAAATATGGGCTTCTTCAAATACATTTATTTTTGTTCTCACTCTTCGTATGTTCTCAATGATTATCTTTTGTTCATTCATTATCAAGCCGTTTTTTGTACATTTGATCAAACACTGGTTTTTCTTCTTTTTTTCTTCTGCGTTCTTTCTGTATACATTCATGAATTTTTTTCTTGTCTCTACATGTTTTCTTTTGTGTTTTCTTTATGTCCTTGGATCAAACTACATAGATGATTATGTATGCGTCCGCTTCTTAAAACGTTCTATATGTATCTTCTTTCATTCTTTTTTTTTTATACAGACTGATGGAATCATTAAAAAAAAATATATATATTTAGTCACAGAGAAAAGGTATCTCTTGGCTTAAAGAAAACAAATTAAGGGATTTAAAAATCAATTTTTACAGGTGTCTATTTCTCATAGAAGACCGTTAAAAAAAAGTATAAAAGAGAACAATGATGTGACAACATTACTGCAGTATCACAATGAAGACGACTATTGGAATATTATTTGTATGCATCAGCGCAAGTAGGTTTTTTTGGTGACTTTTCAATGGTTAGAGGCAGTTTCTTTGTAATAATTACTAATGATTGTCTGATCTTGATTATTTTTCATTGGAAATAGCGTGTGGATTTCTGTTCGCAGCTGGCTCTGGACCTGAATGGAATACTCTAGGTACTACTTGGGGTCCAAATCCATTGAATCGTCAATATTTTGCTAAACAACCACTAACAATTGACGAAGCCCGAAACAGTGGTTTCGAACAGATTTCAACTGGATGTGAAGGTAAACGTTATTTATCCATTTCCTTTTCTATTGTTATCTTAAAGAAAAATGATTTTGTAGGCAAATTTCTTGGGCAACGTTTTATTCAAGGAAAAGATATCGGTTTAATTTTAATCTATGATAGCAAAGGTTTCATTGCTGGTACGCAAATGGCTGTAAGCTAATGAAAATTTCATTTGAATAACTTAAAATAACATAATTCTGTCATCATAAAAAGGTTCCCGTTTCTTTGATCACCACTGATTACTATAAATATACAGAACAGAAAATGTTCAACCGGGATACGGTTGCCGGTATTGATGCTTACATCTTAACAGCATATTTTGTTGATCCCAAAACAATCTGTGCGTCAGGCGACAGTAGCAACCAACGAGTAAAAGGTTCAGTAGGCACAGGACTTTGGTTACAAGATGGCGCCGATCCAATTCGTGATTCCGTTGCTATACCAATGAGTCAAAAAGATGCGACCACAACAAAATGGGTTCAAGGTGCATGTTTTCCATCGATGGGTAAAATATTTACGTAATAAAACAAATAAATAGTTTAGTATCAAATTTATTCAGGTGTACATTTTTGGTATGACAATCGACTTGATTCTGATTGTACGAGATACTTTCCTGCTTTCCTTCTGTACAATAAAGAGAAATTGACAGGATTTGGTTGGGCTATATTTGGTAAATACGAATTTACAAAACGAACTGAATTTCCACCTTTAGCAGCCATTAGCGTAAGTTTAAAGAAATGTTTTCTTTTTTGATTAAATATCTATTTTTAATTTTCTAGTCATTTTTAAAACCTGTTCCAACATGTATGCCCGACAAATATGCAGAAGTTGGTGGTTTCACAACCATGCATATGTATTTTAATACAGCAGCATGGAATTTACTGTGTTAAATTTCTGTTTTGTTTTGATTGCTATTTTTATTCTTTTGAATGCCTTGACTTTTGGCAAAGCATAAATAAAAGGATTAAGTAGAAAAACAAAAACGTAACATATGCATCTGTAGAATGAATCAAATGTCAGTTACATAAAGCGATAGCGAGTATCTAATAAATCAATACGAAGGACGTTTTTTTGACTAGATTATATTTAGAAAAACATAAATGACGCTTTTGTTTTTGCTTAAAATAGACTCAAATTTCAGTCAACCTGTTATCTTAAGTATTATCATGAGCATCGACTTGCTAAGAATTTTAAAATGGCAGCATTCATTTTAATGCGCAATATAAATTTGATTCTAATATTAGAAGTAGTTTACATTATAATACTAAAGAGCTTTTTTTTATTCTATCCAATGTTAAATATTTATAATAATTCATCTACAATCGGTTTCTTATATTGGAATTTAAATCAATTGCATGATCGAAACGTATTTAATTATTCATATTAGTCTATGCCGTTTTCTAAATTGACAATCATCACTATCGTCTCTAACTAGTAATTAACCAATTCGTACTATTGAGAATATAACAAAGAACAAAATTTTTACATTAAATCGATTGAAAAATGAAGAGAGAAGCAAAAACTTCGACTAATCAATGCAACGCTTCTATTTTGAAATAAAATAATTACTGAAAATTTATTTAACTTCTCTTCATCGGTATTTCAAACATGTCGATTGCAGTAGTTTTCATTTGAATTGTCATATTTTTTTGATTATATGACAAGTGATATGCACGTAATGATTAGTGACTTTCTCTTGTAACGCATTTCTCCAAAGATTAGATATTTTTGCACATGTTCCAAGAAATTCTGCCACTTCATCATTACTATTTGATTCTATAGAATCGATATCATTGCTAAAGTATTACACGATGTAAGTGCTGGATTGCATTTCAATTTCATATCCTCTTAGTACCGAGAGGTTTGTACTTAGTATGATGGAGCAAAATCGAGGTTACTCGATGACATATGCATTTAAGTTAAATTTGTCTAAGGATTGAATTTTTTTCAACTCAGAATATTTTCGTAAAATATATTAGGCAGCTCATGTACGAATTTTGGTAAACTAAATATGATTTGTATATCAAATCAACGTTTTTCTTTTATTGGGATTGTTAAAAGAAATAAAATGCTAGGATTTTGTTGGATAAAGATCCATAGTTTTCCAGATTCGTCGGAGACCACTTCTGATTTTTGCATTAAAATTCGGAAATAAATTTTTTTGTTTGTTTGTGTCAGCTCCATCAACTAGCACGATACCGTCGTAAACCAGTGAAGAATTGTTTTTACTCAACGAGTTTTTTGAGTATTTCATCGAATTTATCATTCAGAATAATATTAGACTGCTGCATCAAAATTATTATTTTAAATAAAGTACACCTATTGCGAATATAATTTTCGATGAATTTATTTTATCCATTGAATGATTCACAATATTTTCATTTTTTACATTTAACATTGTGATCGTGTAACGATCAACAACACCATCGGTAAAATGTAATGTCATAACATTTTAAAAGTGTTCATCAATGTCCCGTTTCCATGCATTTATAAACTTTCCTTTCAAGTCCTTTTCCATTCGAAATGCTACTTCAGCTCCGTCTCGATCTCTTGGTAACCATTGGTTTTCATCCTTTTCTGGATTAAGACGAAATACACGTTAATACAAGGCACCGGTTCATGTTGCATAGAATCGACATTTGTCCTTATAACTAAAGTCAACTAAGTCAGCGCAATCATATCTCAAATTTGAATTAACAGCAAATTCATTTGGCACCAGTCGAAAATCCGGTAACTTATTATTTCAGACATTGTTTCTCATTAAACCATTGACAACAGTTATTTCGGGTTCCAGAACCTTGGGATCGCGTAATTGAATAATCGATCGACGTATTGTCTTGGCAATATTGGATAATGAATATGGACCATGAAAATTATTCGATTGCATCGTGAAAACAGCATTCGAAACTTGACCTCAAGGTGCAATCGAATCAGAGACATCACGGAAACTAACAGCTGTATTTGTTCGTAAAATACAGCACTCCTCATTTTCCTGATAATAATATGTGTTAAGTGTCGAAATAATATAGGTCGTAAGTGCATCTTGTGTTGTTACAGTATCGCCATCGGCTAAAGTTCGTAATTGAGCAAGCTGTTTACCAGAGAAATGTAGATTTAGTTGACCATAATCAAGTTGATGAGCAAAAAATGTTTTTAAAACCTATTCTGTAGACTGCGCATCTTGCAGCTGCTTCACTATGGGTATAGCTGATTTGTTGGACTTCATCGCCATGCCATAAACGTCGTCCAAATAAATGGTTGTGTGGGTTCGATTTGTTGATAGAAACGGGATAATGTATTGATAAAATGCAGACATGTAGCAGCATCACCTAATGGATGATACCAACTGATGCCTATAACGCCCATTCATCGCTTTGTAAAATATGAGTTAATTTCAAACGAACAAGTGGTTCGTCAGTTGAACTTTTACATAAATTCATTACTTGAACTCCATCAATAAACATTGGAAATAAGCTGTTCGTTACTTCTACAATCACATCGGAATTCAATGGCCATTCTTTTAAGTCGTTATTAACGACGAATGCTACTGGAATAGGATTATCACATATTTCTATAATGCAATGTTGTTCATTTTCTAATAAAACACGACCAGTAACAAAGGCCCATACAGAAAGAGTTCGATTAAGTGCTTTTTTAAGTCGATCAAGATTGATTTCAGATGGATAAACAAATACATTATCAATGCGTGCAATGGTCCATTGGTCCATACCAACAAGTTCGATACGACGATTATTTCCTGTTGGGGTTGAAGGTGATATAACAAAAGTAGATGTCATCTTCTCTCTCAATTTTTTTTACTGAGATTTATATATGTAGTAAAATGTTTTCTATTATATAAGTGAGATTACATATGGGTATGTAAAATAGAAAAACAGTGATGCGATATGTTTAGCTAATGTTCTTGTATCGCAGCGATGAGTGAAGCGATAAAATGCCATCTTTTCTTTTGATCTCTAGTGCTAATAACAGATGTCATCATTTGAATGGTTTTGAGTTTAAAATTAGTCAAGTAAAATCAAGTTTTCCAAGAGGTCGTATAGTCTTTACTGATTGATGTGCATGCCTTTGGTTTTTGATCAATAATATCTTTTGAGTTTTTACAATGAGATTTATTCAAAATTTATTGATTGAAATTCTTCCGTAGTTAAACTTCATATCAGATAGTTTCTTTGTTGCTTGTATGTTTATCTTATTATTGATCTATTGTTTCCTACATTTAATAAAAAAATTTAAATTGATTTCACATCAGGGGTCGCAACGGCCCAACTTTTCATGGACCGACCCGACCCGTTGCGACCCGTCAACTAGATGGGCCCGCCCGGACCGATACATTAATCACAACGGTCCGGTCCGGTCCGACCCGTTGATTTGTCTGGACCGACCGGACCGGACCGGACCGACATAATCCGATGAACTATCTTTTAATCATATTTGAGATTAATAAGATTGAAACTTAATGCAGTATTTAGAAAAATTTACCTACACGTACACAGTATGACTTTGATTTCTTAATAAATTTCATAAGATCACATAACTCATATGATAACAAAAAATATCATAAGTAACGGATGCATCGGCAAAAATGGCGGTCTCAGTTTTTCTTCAATATTCCTTTCAGCCTTCATAGTTTTGGGTGTGGGTGTGGGTGTGCGTGGATCCGGGTATAACTGTTATTTTCCGTTAATCCACATTCGGATTCCCACACCCACACCCACGCCCTCAAGATATATTTTCGTTTGTGGTTATTGAATTCAGGGATAGATTTAAAATCCAAAATCTGAAATCAGATTTATCCTGGATTTCGTGTCGCGCAATCATTCACCTTTTTGTTTCGCTCGAGAACTTCTATATATAGGCAGATTTTTCTTCCCTTTAGTTATTGAGTTCAGGGATAGATTTAAAATCCAAACCTGAAATCAGATTTATCTTGGATATCGTTTCGCGCAATCATTCACCTTTTTGTTTCGCTCGAGAACTTCTGCATATAGGCAGATTTTTCTTCCCTTTAGTTAGTGAGTTCAGGATAGATTTAAAATGCGAAATCTGAAATCAGATTTATCTTCGAGTTTGTTGTCGTTGAATCGTCGTTTGACCACTTTCCCCATTGAAGTCAAGTAACATGTCCACGATTCAGTTTGTTTCCGGCTTTTCCGTAAATCCCCATTTATGTTTCAGCGAATTCCGACTCTCTCAGAAAGCGCTTGATTTTCATGTCGAAAGGTAATGTGATTTTGACCCAGAAGTGAAATTTTTCTCTGATCCAAGTGGAATCGTTTTGAGATCTTTTTGAAATCTAATCGAAATCTGAATGAAATCTGAGTGAAATCTGTTTGAAATCCAAATGAAATCTTTTTGAAATCTGAGTGAAATCCATGTCAAATCCAAATAAAATCGTTTTGAAATCCGAATGAAATCTGTTTGGTTTGCAGGTGAAATCATCGAGAATAACGACAAACGGCCGTTTACTTTGGTGTAGGGTAGTCGTGGTGGTCGTAAACGGCTGTATGTGTTAAGATACGGCGATTCTCGTTATCGTAAACTGTCGTTTCGTTCAAAATACGACCGTGTTACGGCGCTGTTTTTAACGTTTACGGTAGTCGGGTTTCACCGTTTACGGTAGGTGGGTTTTACCGTTTACGTCACGGTGGGTTACGGCCGTAATACGGGGCATACCAAACGGGTCATTTACGGTCGTAACTCTGACGGTTACGGCCGTTTACGGTATCGTGCACGGCTGTTTACGGCCGTTTACGGCCACTGTAATGTTCGTCCTGGGTACCATTGAACTCATTGTGTTCGAAAATATCTATTCATTGGAATTCATTTTAAATATAATTTTTGTATATTAAAAATCAGAGCTTCGCTAATATTGAATGAAACAAAAAAAGGATAAATTCCAGTTTTCGTTTGATTGAGCTTTTTTTTCTTCGAACTGATGATCTTTGGCGTTGAATTTTCGAAGCAGGCACTCTTTCGTTGGATTTGAGACTAAGTTTTGCATACATATTCTATGTATCTCAATGAAGTCATCATATATGAGTATCTTATTTTTTGTTCATAATCAGTTGATTGAAAATGAAATGAATTTGTATATGATCCATTAAATAGATACCGGCATGGGTGTGAGTGGAAGCTTATATTCAGTATGTATATATAGCTTTTATATTATTTTTACTTCTTTGCAAGTTTATATTTAATAATATTCTATCACATTCAGGATAATGAAGACTGATGATCATCTTAAAAAGAAGAAAGAAGCCTTAAATTAATTTTTTTCCTTTTATTAGAGCTTTCAAGTCATTTTTCAAATCATCGCCATTTAAAATAAATTGACTGATAGAGTCCCAATTAGTTCATAAAGATCTCTCTATTCTTTAATTTCTATGACACACTGCGTTACTCGTTGACCGTGGGATAATGTCGAAAGAAAATATTTCATCTTTGTCGATCAGTTGTTATTATATTATATATATATATTTTTTTTTCTCTCACGCACTGTTCATATTACATTATCAATACTTGAATTCGTTTTATGTACTACATCATATTTATAGCTCGCACTTCTAAGAATAGAGTACGACGCAATTATATATCACTCATGCTGTGATAAGTTCGTAATAGGATAAGTAAAATAAAGCAAAAAGTATTACTCGTCTCAAGCAAAGATAAGAAAATAGTTCTTCACTATTCTTTTCAAGTTCAAAACGAACGGACAATCGATAGATTCACTTGTGAAGTGGTTTTTTTTCACAAGGTGGATGCATGTTGTGAAGGCGCATCTACAAAAAGTATTCATAATCTTGCTCTGAATCTTTTTTTCGATTATATTTTGTTACCTCTGATACATTGTTATGATATAATGAATTTTTTTAACGTTATTTTTACTGTTAATTAAGACTAAGTTTGAAAAGATAATGATTGAGGTATGAAATATAATAAGTTTGAACGAATTGTTCTTTCTATTGCCTATCATTATTCAATTGTTTTTAATCAACGTATAGAACATCATCACTTGAGTATTTCATTTTGTTTCATTACTTTAAAGATGATATTTTGCCACCAGAACCATGTTAATTCATTACATAATAATTTTATGCCTGAAAAATAAAATTTTTCATTGCGTTTGCATGTTCAATAATCTATCGATGAAATATATGCATGAAAATTGACTACATTTAGATAATCAACTTACTAGAGATGACTGTCAGAAAACATTATGTCTATCTATAAATTACATGATGATATGAAAAGAACAAAAATTGAAAGACACTAGCTCATTTTGGGGAGCCGGAAAGTTGAGCACGAGGAAAGATGAGCACAGGAAAGTCGAGCACGAAAAAAAAAACTTTTAAAGATACAGTATATTGACTGATGAATAAATTTTATTTATATTCTATAAAAAAAAACAATTATAATGTAATATTATTAGCGATTGAGTCGAGTTGAGTTAGAATATTTTGATGAGGATTTGAAATTAGATGTAATAGTCGTTTTTCAAAACGTTCATTCTTCTTCTTGCTTTTTGGTACTTGTCCAGATCTTATATGAACTCTTTGAATTTCGACAATTTTTTGTTTGAATTTGAATTTTATAGGGACAATTAATTACATTCTCTCTATTCATGTAGTGTGAATAATTAGATTATTATACAAAATTTGTACTTCTTATATTCATGGAGTTATGTTATATATGATCTAATCAACATAAATTGGTTTATGCCTACTCATTATTTTCTCAATTGTTGTTTTTCTTTCGTGCTTATCTTTCCGTGCTCATCTTTCTTCGTGCTCAACTTTCACCAATCCCTCATTTTGTTCAGTTTTTGATCGATAGATGTCGGTATATTAAGTTTTGATTTTACCGTAAGATCTACTAGAAACGTGTACACTTTAAATTTTATAATTGAACAAGATATTTTTTCTAAGTACTATTTTGTAATAGAAAATTAGATTTGATTTTTTTGGATTATGCTCATATGGTAACGAATTTGCTCATGGAATGACAAAAATGGCGGTTATTGGTATCTGTGCTTTTTCTTTTACCGCAAAATGAAGTATCAAGTAAGTGAGAGAATACATATAGTTGTGAAGATTTTTTGATTACTTTAGACGGAATATCAACGAAATTTTCAAAAACGAACGCCAAGACCTGTAGATGACTATACAAAACCAGAAAGAAAATTAAATGAAGGTTATTTTTCATTCTATTCAGTAGCAGTACTTAAGCACTTATCTTTATTCATTCTAGTACCAATAAAATCTTCATCATCATCTTCATTAACACCAGCACGTCGGCGTGGTCGCTCATTACCAGGATCACCTACTAGAAATGATAATAATTTTGCGGTTATTGGTCCCAATGAAAAATTCTCAAGTTCACAACTCTACCGCCTACGCCAACCGATTAAAGATAATGCTCGAGTGAAAAAACCACGAGAATATGCAATTCTAGGAAGAAATGAAAAATTTCAAGACAATACTATTTATCCATTGAGAAAACCAGTTTGGGATGATTCAGCACGAGTAAGCGATCTATTTGATTGAACTTCATAATTGAAGAAATAAAATAGTAAAACATATCGAAGCAACGCAGCTTTACATCGGATGATAGAATAGTAATTTAGAATAAGATATATATTATCCAAAGGATACCAGAGTTGACTTGACTATGCAGTAACTTTTGAATGAGACTTTTATTTTCTATCGTAATATATCGATATAATTACAAAAGCAGTTTTTTTTATATCTAATTAAAATTTGAGTTTCTGTATGACTGTGAACGTTACTATCGTCTCAAATTATCAAATAAAAGTAAAAGGTTTTCTAAATTATTAAATGAAAGACAATACCTCAGAAATGAATTGTAGAAATAGTATTGAATTATGCTCATGTTAAATATTCTCGTTTAAGTGTTAAAACAGTTTTGGTGATTAAAAGATATATATATATATAGGAAAAGTTGAAAATAGTACTAAAAACAAATTAAAACCTTTTCTTTGTTCATATCAAAGAAAATCACGCTCTATTTTAGTAATACATAGAACTGGAAATTATTTCACTTTAAGCAGCAAACTAATCGCGAATACATTCTTGTCTATAAACAGAAAACATTTTAGTCTGAAAATCCAGAAAATTGTATAGCAAGAATTCAATATCACGCTACAATCGGATGATAGAACATCCTGCCATCAGATTCCTCTTTCTCAAGTTCATACTATTTCACACAGTTTTTCTACACGCACTTCGGGGATTTGAAGTCTCGAAAACAGTGATCTGTGAGTGTTCTAGTTTCTTTTAACTTTTTCTAAGCATTAAATGAAAGTAAAACATATAAAAATACTGCGAATGTCTTTTTGAAGATTTCAATAAATATAAATTATTTAGAATATGTAACGAATTTAACTATTCCTTCTTGAAATTCATATATAGGTTCCTGTTCGGCGATCTGAAAGCGAAAATCATTCATGTGGTATACAAACTGTAAGTTATTGATAAAGAAATTCTACGATTATAGATATATAACTTTCATTAAAATTTAGGAACTTCAAAAAGCACCACATGTAACGTTTGATGCTCAATACGGACGTGAAATAGTTCCTGTTCGAGTAAATATTCTTTTGTTCATTGCGGAAAAGAATTTTTTCACATTAACCATGATAGAGTCGTATTGGTGCACAAAGTGAATATCAACAACAATTCCATTGGAAACAACCCTTAGGAGATTTAGTTAGTGATCAAATGCTTGTTGAAGATTCTAAAGTGGTCCGTTTTTTTAATTCAAATTTACAAAACATAAAAGCGATCTATTTTTCTAGCGTGATCGACGTTCAGATCCTGTATTACCATTGACAGTGATTGATCCATCGGAAAAAATTCTAATTGAAAAAGCATCTGTTGCTGTCAATACACCGGCACGTGTTGAAATTATTGTTGATAAACCTAAACATCAAGTGAGTCGATCCGTGTCTGGTCCAATAAATCCAATTCATTCAAAACATAACCAAGTAACGGAATATCAATCACGTTATAAGCCAATTCCTAATCAAAAGAAACCACCTACACGTAAAGCATTTGAAGCTGAACAAGTTGAAGAAAGAGTAAATTATTCAAATGAAATAAATTTCTACTTATCGATCTTTTCTTCTTAATTAAAATTTTACTCAATAGAAACGAAAAGAAATTGTGAAAGCTGAGCGTGCGTATTCAGATGATGAAGGTACAGGTGCTAAAATGAATTTAGGAAAGGAATTTCGACAAAAAAATTCACAGAACAATTTAAGGTTTGAATAAGTAACAACAATAAAATTTTCTAAACTGAAATCTGCTCAGGCGTTGGAAATCTGAATATCAAACAACATTTAAGCCTTTTTGGCGGTTCGATTATAAAAATGGCAAATGGTATAAGGATGCTGCAGCAGTAAGGGATTCAATTTTAATATTTCATTTTATTTCTTTCCTTTTTTTGTTTTCAGGATGAGCAAGGCTTTAATCCAAATTTATTTTGGTATAAAGAATTAGTGTCAAGTCGACAACGAGCTGATGAATATCGCGCTAATGCCGAAGCTGATCATTTTAATCGTGATCATATGCTTCAATTACAAACAGGTTATGGTGGAAATAAAAGTTATCTTGCATGGGATACAAATAATGATAATGATGCCGATAGTGTTGTTTCTATCGATCGGTAAATATGAAAAAGACTTGATTGAAAACAAGAAAAGAAGCAAATTTTCTCGCCCTTCGATTTATTTGTAGTGATTTAGAACGTCAACGTCAACGTGACAAACAAAGTCAACGGCGAGTCGATGAACGTATTCAATCAAAGATTCATTATCATGAAAAACAATCTGAAAAACCAGCACTTCATAAAACTGACCAAGTTGCACAAACTGATCACCAAGTGGATCGTATTGTTTATATTGATGACCCAATACCAAAAGCACCAAGTGCTGCAACAAAAGCCTTCGTACGTAATTTAAATTCATCAGCTGTTCAACAACATATGGCTTGGGACTCAGAAAGTTTATATAGTCAACGAACTGCTTCCGACATGTCTGTATTTTGTTTTTACTCTTTCTCAAGACTTCTATTGATTTTTCTCTCTTCTAATAGAGATTTTAAATCAAACAATGTCCATGATGTTCATCGAAAGCATTATGTCAACGAGGAACCAACTATTATTCGAAAACCATCATCAATGAAGCAACACGAACATCGAAGCTCAGGTACACATTCGCCATTGATCCATGAACGACAACAAATCAGTAAGTTTAAAGCCAAACGGAGGAAAATTTGTTTCTAAAGAAAGCATTAATTCTGTGTAGACAATGGTTATACATCACCACAAACACATGAACCAATAAATAAAGTAAAACACAAGATGTTCGTTCAATTATTTTTCTATTCTTTTCGTTCTCTTGAAATCTAGCAAAATGGTATCATTCGTCCATCAACAAGTCTTCAGGAAACACGACATGCTGCTGGTCGATCAAATTATGACACTCATGCATTTGATAAACGTTTACCCGTCCGACCTCACACAAGCATGAATGATTGTAAGTATTTTTAAGTTTCCTTTTTACGCTATGAAAAGGTTGTTTTCGTCCTTATAGATCATTCATATCCAGGTAATCGATCTAACGAGAATCGTAACTATCAACAAACAGATTCACCAGCATCAAAATCATCATTTCAAGCTCATTTGAATCGATTAGATGAACGGTTTGGTCAGAATTATAATGCACGTAATAAAGGTAGAATTGTTTAAACAATAATGAGTCACGCACTTATGTTTCGCTTTCTTTTAAATAGATGATGACATTTTATCAATGCATTCTGCTCGATCATTGTCGTCAAGTTGTAGTTTAGCATCTCAAACACTTGAACGTGCTCAACAAAATATGAATAAATATTGGGGTGGTCATGTACCAGCTTCGATTGATTCACCTAAATAACCCTTTAGTGCCAAACAATAATCAATGATACAAATAAAACCATTAAACAGTATTCAACAACAAAAAAAAGAACCACCGCGTGTCTGTTTTCCATGTATTAGATTATATTCTTTAATGTCTCTTTGTTTTTGTATACATTTGCTCTTGATTAGTATTCTTGCTACTCATTGTTTTCTATTTGTTCTTCGTGTGACCTGTTGTTTTTTCATAATACTCTACAGTAGATTTGTGATATAGTAAAATATACACAATAAACATAAATGAAATGCTTTTTTTTAGTAAGGGGAAAATATTTGATCTCTTTTAAACTTGCAGCTTCAATTTCTACTATCTTCTGAAGAAATTCAAAAACTAAAGTAACATAAAATAATGCTTTATTTTCTTCTACGTATGATCTAATTCTTTATTGTACTTTTACAACTTACGAAAAAAAAACATGTCATTAAATAAAATGCACATATAGTTTTACATCCGGAACGTAACGTCTTTCTTGTTATCGTTGTTGTAATAAATATCTGCTGTGCACATTTTGAAATATCCATTCGACCGTGAAAGTAAACACTGGTCGATTCTTTACATTGTATCAGTTTACTGCTGCATTCTTAATTGAAAAGTGGTTTTTATCAGAAAAAAGTATAACGATTGTCAATCAGCTAACCATGAAATCACATAATAAAAAATGCAACAGTGCATGAATCGATCGGAATATTAGTTTTACATGGAATCGCAAACAGCCACGGTGATTATTTCACCTAAATGGCTCATTTGTTTTGTGTTTCAATAAAAAAACAAATAGTAAACGTATGTACTATTCATCTTAAAATGTCTTTTTGAAAATTGAATCAGTGTAAAGATTAGAGATATACAATGTTTGCGTGAAAATCTACTAGGCTCTCTTGTCTCACACTGGCTATCAGCGTGCCTATAGCTAGGAGTATTTTAATAATGCAATTAACTTTGAAAGTAAAATGAAAGAATATAATCGTTGTCAGACTGATTCCTGGTCAAATAAGGTTCGCTTTATTATCTCATTAAGATGTTCACCCGTATACTTGACAGAATTCAATTGAAATCCATGCTAATTAAAATGATATCTAAATTAAAGTCTAATGTACTTTACTGTAATGAACATAAAAGTAAAATTCATCTTTCTCATTGTTTGCAGGAAGTATAATTAAATATTGGTTCAGATTGAAAGGAACACTATAAGTATATATGTATGTCTGATTATATCCTATCGTATTTTAAACGTTAGATAGTCGCACATTCCATCTTATTCAACTACGTAGATTCATTTTAAAGTAAAGCAAACTGTGTACTCTAAATAGAATCAATCGAATTGTAATTAAAAATGATCATCTACTTCAGATGCTATAGAAAATACAATTTTACTTTTATTTTTCTATCAATTTTGCAAATAAATGGAAGTTTTATTTTTAAATACGTCAAATAGAAATCAACAAACTCAATAGCATATACTATATCCTTAGTAAGTTATTTGCAAGATCTTGAGCTAACTGTAAAGTTAATTTTTGAGCGTAGGATCAAATATATTGTCTCTATTATGAATTCATAATGCCAGAGGCACATAAAATTCTAAAATCTTTTACTGACAGTTATTTTGTTCTAGTCCATGCAAAATGATTTGAAGTAAAAGTAAAACTGTATTCATAATTATTTTAAAAAAATTCAAAAGATGTCGTTTTGTGAATGTAAAAAAATAGTAAGAGGAGGACTGTTTCTTGGCAATAAAGAATTTCTGACGAGCGTCGTCAATAAACAGTATAAAAAAAAGAGTATGTCACTTATGTGAAATCGAAACACTTTCAAGAAGTCGACAACAACCAATGGCTCTAGCTACATTATCTGGTCGTGACGCGAACGCTAGATTACGTCAATCTGGAAAATTGGAAACGGATGGCTTTACTGTAAAATCTCTTTTAAAAAATGCTAAAGTAAATCATTGTTTAATTTTTGACTTTATTCATTTTATTAAATCTTTTCTTATCCAAAAAACGTTTCTAGGTAAATGCCCCACCATCAGCAGAAGCAACACGCATTCGTAATAGCAAACCAACTGCTTTCCGAAAATTTTATGAGCGTGGTGATTTTCCAATCGCCCTTGAACATGATACCAAAGGAAATAAAATCGCTTGGAAGGTATTTAGATCGAGCCAATAGAAACTTTTTTTTTCATTTGAAATTCTATTCTATCAAAATAAACTAGGTGGAAATCGAAAAACTTGATTATCATCATTATTTGCCATTGTTTTTCGATGGTCTTTGTGAAATTGAACATCCTCATGATTTCTTTGCTCGTCAAGGTATTCATGATATGTTAGAACATGGTGGAAATAAAATTCTTCCTGTTATTCCACAACTTATCGTACCAATTAAAAGTAAAATTTATTGAAAAAAAAACTTTTTTTTAAGTCATATTTGATGTTTAGATGCATTGAATACAAGAAATCATAAAGTAATATGTACAACATTGAAAATTCTTCAACAATTAGTTATGTCAGCCGATATGATTGGTGAAGCTCTTGTGCCATATTATCGTCAAATCTTACCAATCTTTAACTTATTTAAAAATTGGAATTGTAAGTAGGGCTTCGATTCTTTTGCTTTATTGTAAGCCTTTTTGTTTTTGCTCAAAAAAGCAAACTTGGGGGACGGCATTGAATATGGTCAACAACGACGTGAGAATATCGGAGATTTAATTAATGAAACACTTGAAGCATTTGAACGACATGGTGGTGAAGATGCATTCATTAATATCAAGTACGTTATTAGCTTTTAAAGAGGTGATTTCTTTATTGAATTTTTCTCTTTTTGTTTTTAGATACATGATCCCAACTTATGAATCAGTGATGCTCAATTAAGATGCTTAGGAAAACAATGCCGAATTCACTTTTCTGACCTTTTCTTTTTTCGCTTTTTTTTTCGTGGACGATGCCCTGTATTGTATCATACGTATATTTTTTCTTGAGAAATATAATAAAGAAAGAATAAATTGATTTTAATATATTTAAGTTGAACTACAATATACTATGATTATGTTATATGCTAAGCTTTTGCTATGAGAGAAAAGCTAATCAATTAGTTAGTTATCAAAAGACTAAGATGGATGTACGCTTTTATTGATTACTTCATCGTTGAGGAGGCCAAGAGGTTTTGAAATTAATTATAATTATCTTAAATATTATTATAGATCTTAGATAAAACAATATCCAATAAGAATTAAAATATTTTTATCAACAATCGCATCATCTAATAGAGAATTTTTGATTTTCTATTGTATATTGAACTTACCTTATAAACTAGATATGATCGATTTTGCCTTTAGTAAATTCTTTCAAATTAGATGTTTGAACTAATATCTTGTTTGAATATAGATCAATTTAATTTCATCTCAACAATAATTAATTCTTTGCAGCTTCTACATAGAAATGATTGTAATAAGAGATTACCTTAATCTTGTTAATCGTGTCATTATTTATGATCAAAAGATCGTAACTATGAATAGTTTGCACATCAAACAACATAGCTATAGAGTTCATTTAATAAAAGAGTCATCATTTAATGTTGAATTCTTGGCACTTAGTGCCAAGAATTTTTCTCTCCATAATCTTGTTTTTTGCGTATATAATAATAAAAATGATAAAAAAACAGAAAAACTTAAATCGGAGTATATAACAAATAGTCTTGTAATTTTACACTTAAAGAAACTGATTCTAATGTTGATGATTTGAGATTTTTAAAATTCTGTCGAATTAATAGACGACATAAATGTTTTAATTCAGGTATTTGCTTTACTAATTCATTTATTCGATTTACATATGGTTGAACATTATCATGAACCAACGGAATCAATGTTGACGATGGTACTGATGTTTGTAGATTGTTAAGTTTATGTTCTAATTTTAATGCATGTTTTGTTCCAAGTGTTTTAACAAATAAATGAATATAATCATTATTAAATCGATTTAATGCCGTCTTAGTACATGAACTAAGACCATAGTGTTCGTCATTTTTACAAAGTAATATGTTCGTCGTTATCAAATAGGTTACTAAATTTAACACATCACCCAATACCATACGACGGATATGATATTTTAATATAAATAGTAAATGTGCATTTAGTAAAAGAAAATCTTGAGAATTAATATAAATAAGTTGTTGTGGGGCTGTCAATGAAACAATATCCATAAGACGTAAGCATGCACAATTTGTTTCTAATAAAAGTCGAATGATTGGTAAAGATTTATTTGTTGTCGTTTCAATAGCAACATATAGATATGAGTGACCACTAGAATCACCTAAAAATAACATAAATACAATCGATGATATTATTTTTTTTTTGTTTTAATTGAAAAGAAATTAAATTATTACCTTGATATAAATCACAGCCATATCTAACAAGTAAATTCACCATATCAAAACTACCCATCAGAATAGCATGTTCTAAATAGCTCATACCATATTGATCACGATGATTTATATCAATTTCGAAATTATTTAGTAATTTTTTCATTGATTCAACATTACAACGTGATGTTGCTACCTGCATTGCACTTAGGAGACGATTTTGTTTTGATTTTTCATGTGAACGTGCATAATTCATATTTGATTTTGTCTTACTAGCGGCTACTGAATTAGAAGGAAACTCATTAATTTGTCTTTCATATTTGCCTTTAATTTTTGTATTTGTTGTTGATGCTTGTCGAGATTCATTGGACCAATCATCGTCGCTGTCACTTGGACCATCATCTTCGTCGTCGTCATCGTTGTCAACACCATTTGTTGAATTATCAATATCATCGTCAATAACATTATCTACATCGTTGTTATCGCTTGTATCATCTCGAATATCATCCACAACATCATCAAGACGAATTTGTGACGACGGTGTATCCAACGAAAATACACGCGAAAATAAAGATCGAGCACGAGTCAACATCTACAATAAATACTCAACTAGCAATATATTAAAATCAAGCATACAACTGCAACCATTCAAGTAACACCGATGAACATTTGATGAAAGAAAAAGTATAAAGAAAAAAAAAGAAAAAAAGAGAAATGAATAAGAAAGAGTAAAAGAAGAAAAAAGGAAGGATATAAACAATGAGTGGTGTCGGTTCGTATGGTTCAGCATATGTTGCGTACACATACACTCTTTTTCTTTCATCCAATCTAAAATTCTATGTTCTCATGCATGAGTCTAATCTAGAGTATACATCCGATCGGGGAAGGCAAGCATTTCGTAGTTGAAATAGACACAAGGGAAATGACCCGATATATCAATTCAACTATTATTTTAATATTTCTATATAGAATGAGAAAAAGAACTGAAGGACTCAATCATAACGATTGAAAAGCTATTTTTGAAATATTAGCTGCATTTTTTAATCAATTCTAGAAAACATATAAGTAATTATTATTAAAAAAAGTTTATAATTGCAATATTCACAAGAACGATTTCCTATTTTATGTTTATGAAATCATTTATATTTCGCAAAAATGTCCAAATTAAAAATCGGATATGTAGATCTAAACTATAGACACAAATCTATGAATTTATGCACGTTTCTACGTCCCTAATTGTTCTGTCTTTTGTTCGCTGACAGCATCACAGATCGTCATTAATATGGGTTGTTCATGCTTGTTATACTCACGTCTTATTCTTTACCTGTGCTAAACAAAACACAAGACTAACACCACACACACACACACACATATATATATATATATATATATATACACAAAACATAGCAAAGAAGAACATGCGTGCAACGAGGCGAGGATTGATGAATCCTCTTTTTTTTTGCCCAACAGCGTTTTTTGCTATTTCGTTCTTTTTTTCTCTTTTTCCTTCGTTTTTTTTTTATAGTAAGATTAACTTTCCATCATCGTCGACAAGATACCCGAGTAGCTGTTATTTTTCTATTCTCTCATTCTTTTGCGATTCCAAGTTGTCTGAACGTCTAACGTTGACAGAGTATAAAAAGAAAAAAAAACAAGAAAATTTTCTTTAGTAAGCAAACATTGTTGTTGATATTTGTTTCTTGAACTTTTTTCTTTTCTCCACAACACAGAAAATTATTGCGCTAACTAGTAGAATATAGTATTCTCTTCAATAGAAACAGCAAAAATCTTTTCTAAATAAAACTGATTTCGTTTGAAGATGGTTGTAACTGAAGTGCATGTTCCCTCGTTATTTTTTATTCAGTGATACCATTAAAAGAAATTTGACTATAAAAGATATAGACGTAACAAGATATGAAAACAAATATTGCTTACTAATGAAATCAGCAAGTCATTGTTAATGACTTTTCTTTGTAATCTGAGATACATGCTAATGAACTTAGATGAGCAAATTTTCTATTTGAATATTTTAAACCATATACTGTTTATTTATACATTCAGTCATGACAGATTGCTTTTTAAATGATAAATATAGAACATTACTATGCTTACGATTCTTCATTAGATTTATCTATCTGTTATATTGATTCGGTAGAATATTGATGACAGATGAATAAAGATATATATTCTTTGTTACAATGGCTCACTTTGATAAGATCTAAATTGTACTATAAAAGAATTTTATGACTAGTAATATATATTATGGAATATTTTAAGTAATAGTTGGATTTTTAATTTTTACATGCAAGTCATCATAGTTGAAGCATTAAGAAAAGTATTTTTTTACCTAAGTCACCTGTAAGGTATCATTTGAATATGACTATTTTATTATATATATATATATATATATGCATTGTATCGTTGTTTTTCTTCATTACTAGTGAATTGTGATTAAATGCTTGTCTCAACCTGAGTTTTCATTCTCTTAATGTGAAGCAGACTTTATATAGTGTTAAATTCCTTATCTGCTGATAGAAGACATGCATTCAATTTAAAACTGTACCAAACAAACTAGATATCTTTTTCAACTCTATGTTGGATTTTACATTAGTTATAAAAATTTGAATCAAATGTTAAATCATCGTTTATAAATTTTGGCGCACGAGTGCAAAAGTTATATAAAAAAGGGGTATAACTTACATAAAAAGTAAAAACATCAAATGTGCCTAATACTTGAATGGCTTCAATTTCGTATATAAACCTAAATGTGTTTAAGATTTAAAGTAGAATACTTATATTCTAATCAAACGCTTTATCAAAATCAAAACACCAACTTTTTCTGATATCCAAAGTAAATGAAGAAAAAAACAACATCGTTCTGTCAGTTATGATTGATGATATTACTCAAGAAGCAAATTTTTACCGTTTCCATCCATAGATTCAAATTCAAATATTTTTCTATTATTTTCAATAATATTTGTTTTATCAATCATATGTAGTGGAAATAATAATTACTAGTAATTATTATTGAATCAATGTTGTTTTATATGTAACTGACTACATAGCAAAAATATAAACCAATTAAAAATCAAGTAGAACAAATGAAAATTCAAATAGATAATTTTTATCAATATTCTATCAATACAAAGTTAATAATAGTTCGGTATTTTATTTTTCATCAGAAAAGATTACGATATCAATTATCAGCACACTTATTAATGTTCATTTCTTATATGTCTACTTGAGAATCATCATAGATTTCAACAACAAAGAATTGAAAATTAAAAATAGTTAGAAAATAAAAGTTCTGTGTACACATAACAGAGCAACAATAATACGTATATTAATTTTAAAATTTAGGACGAATCCGATGAAAGAAAAATCTTCGTTTAATATCAAGATCATTGTCTACTAGAGTCCTGCAGATTAAGACTTGTTTGTACCCTAACCCTGCCCTATCGTAAAACTTCGTACCCTTGTCCTACCCTGCCCTATAGACTTCGTAACCTTGCCCTGCCCTGCCCTAGGGGCTTTGTGCCCTTACCCTACCCTATCACAGAGATTTTTCATTTTACACCCTATCAGATCCTTAGAGTTTCAGGTCCAAGTAAAAGGCAGCATCAAGTTTTTCTTCATTTTGTTTCAATATATTTTATTGATTTTCAACGAGAATCAAATACAAAATGAACTAGATGGTACTCGAGCTTTACTCGACTACGAAATGCGGTACGAAGCACAGGCTCCAGTATTGAGAACAGAGGCTTCCGCAAATAAAGGGTGTGGTTGTGGGTGTTATTCTGTCCAAACGCTCATCCACATGCACACTATACATGCAAATCCACACTCACACCCACACCCTCACGTTTTCTGTAGGAATCTTTTCGTTTTTTAACTTTTGACAATGCTGATTTTTTTCGAACCATCAGCCTTGTAGTAGTATTTTACTAAATAATTGAGTTGAATTATTTACAGAATCGCTTCTCGTTGAGATTCAACAGGGTTCAAACTCCTGAATGAGAACGAATATTATCTCTTGATTAAGTGAGATAATAAAAAATAGTTTCTTTAGAGTTAAATCTTCGTTATCGTTAAGTGAAGATTTTCATCGATGCTAGGTAAGAAACTTTAGAAAGTCGAAAGTTTAGTGACTTTAAAAAAATAATATTTGAACTTTTTTGTTTGTTTAGTTGTGAGCGTGACGAATAGGATCTAGAATTAAGAAAAAAGAGCTAGCAATTGAGAAAGATAATGTATGATAATATTTTTTTAAAGATAAAGTCAATATAATGATTAATAAGAATAAAGTGATGCTGCAGCGTAAATGAATCAGAGAAGCCATTTGAAGTGAGATATCGATAGAGATTCTTTGAAAGCTTAGAGATCGATTTTGAAAACAAGTACATATTATCTGCTATAGAGGATTCTACTTTATTATTTATATGTTTGATGTGTTAGAATAGGATCCATTTATAAATGTTGATATAAAAGCGCCTAACTTTTAGCGTTTTGATTTTCGTTTTAATTATCTCAAAATGAAATTTGATCAAAATCCTCTTTTCGGGAATCAATTTGCGAGTCAACGGAAGTAGCCATAATTTTTTTTGAAAAAAATGGTACATCTATTATCTCGATTCTTTTACTTCACGTTTTAACCAGTTTTTTCTTATGTTCGGTTGTCTAGATCATCGCGTCACAAGTTAGCAATATATGATCTGGACGTCGAGTTTAAAAAAAGGAACAAAGAAAGAAAACTCGCGCAGGACTACATAAACGCTGTGCTTCGCACCGCATTAATAAATATTTTGAAAGTTTCTTAAAAATAAAATGTCATTTACAACATCATCACTTAAACTTTGCCTTCTCTTATCCAAAACTCGCCCGTTTGTAGTAACAATACGTTCATGTCGAGATGATTTCGAAGATATTTTTATTACATTTACATGCACATTTACTAGACAAATAATCCCCATGTAATAAAAATCGCATGAAAATCGGTGGTTAACCGCCGTTTTACCGGTCCGGTTCCCGGCTCTTATTACCGCAGAACGGATAAATACCGCGGTCTACCACAAAAAATGAACTGGCATTTACCGCGGTAAACCGCCGGTTTTGATTAATACCGCGGTTACCGCTAAAAAAGCGGTTAACCGGTTCATCTATAATTTTTGACAGAAAAAGTCTTCCAAATCATCAATTAAACTATTTTAAAGATCCTTTTTTTTTACTTTTACATGTGATAAACATGCGCAAAACACCGCCGGTTTACCGCGGTTTTACCGGTTCGGTTACCGGCTCCCATTACCGCAGAACGGATAAATATCGCGGTTTACCGCAAAAATTGATCCGGTATTCGCAACATGGGTCAAAAGTGATTGAACTCGTCAGCATATGTAAAAATAGTACTAAACAATAGGCCATTGTTTTCCGTTCGTTGTTATTCTACCCATTCGATTTAGATTATGATATCACTCTTTACCATAAAGTGGCAAATCTAAAATTATAACTAATTTTAGAATCAGCATGTCAAAATTCTTATAATTTCTAATTGTGAAAATTTTCAAAATTTCAATAGTTCCAATTAGAACTATTTAGCTTATAACTTTCAATGGTTAGGAGACATCAGATATCAGATATTTACTTTCTCCCTACATAATATTCCATGAACAGCAGAGATCAGGCATAAGATTTTTACTTACTCCCTATGCAGTGTTCAATGTACAGCAGACACCATATATCAGATATTTACCTTCTCCCTGAAAAACAATTATTTTCCAACAGATATCTAATAGTATATATTTGTATCCAACGACTCTCTCAGTTTTGTTGTAAAAGAAACCGAATATAAAATATTCAATGTTTCTTCTCAAGCAAATAAGAAATGAAAATGTTCTGCTTCTATCTTTCAGTCTATTGAAATTAACCTCAGGATTTGAATCAGTTAGCTGATATCATTTAGATTAAATATTAGTTCAGAACCAAGTGTGATGCAACGGTTATTTCATATTCGCTTTATTTAAATGCTTTTGGGAGAACCACAACATCCTTATAGAAGCATCTTCATAGTTTTTAGAATCAACTTTTATCGAGAAAATAATAAGTGTTGAGCTGGAATAAATAATGCAAAAACAAATGACGATAAAACAAGCTTAAAAACAAAATCAAACAATGCCAGAAACTTTAACGCTCTGCTCAAACGAACTAATACCAACGGTTGTACAATTTTTTAGATGAAAAAGAATGGTAAAATAAAGTGTAGATTTTGGATAATTATATCGTCTAAACGAATTTTTAAACTTTGACAAATATGAAAAAAACTTGCTCAGCAACCTCCGTATTAACAAACTCGTAGACCTTGTTATGACATGGATGATCCGATTGCATGATGGTGCGACACATAGGCCGTGTATGATTTCTTGCATGAAAACGATCAATTGCCATTGTCAAGGATGTTAGAAACTTCTTATTATCTGTAGACTGTAAGTCATTAGATCCGAAATGTTTGTTAATAAACAATTTCAGAGTGCACACCGAGTCGTAACACATTGCCCGTGGTAGTTGACCAAATCGCAATATTGTTAATATATGATGAATGACTCGTCGCACTATTTTTTGAAAGAAAACTGCTTTTTGCTCTGTAATAAATTTTAAATTTTCATACGAACTTCCTTCTGAACATGGTTGCTCGGTAAATCCGACGATAACGGAACAATTAAGAAAGGTTGCTAAAAATCCATAGGAACTGATTTTTTGTTTATTATTCATGTCAGATCTGAAAACGTTGCATAGCTCGTCGCTATAATGACCACCCTTGTCTACGTATTCAATTAAAGCAAGCTTATCCAAAGCTGTTTCCTTATTCTCTTGGTCATATTGGTATGCTGATGTTGTTGTGTTCAAATTAGATATAAGCTTTGGTGGTTGACGGTGTTGGCAATATCTATGATTGATATTTGCATCTAGAGAAGTAGAATACACTGTGAAATAACACTGTTTCTAGATGTAGTATATATTAGGTTATGATTTTACATTTCCTGTTGTGATTCGCTCGATGAAGTCTTCCAACTATTCTAGCCATGTTTCAGATAGAACTGTTGCACTTTATTGATAGCACATCTTAGTATTTCAATTAGATATTGCCAGCACTTACAGATCTCTTTAAAACCTCAGCATATGATGTTCTCCATTCAAAATATGCCGTAATTCGGTCAATAACCGATTTCAGCATTCAAATCATGCTTCTAGATGGAACTTATGACAATGTATGAGATCCAAGTGTTCATGTCAATTTTAAACAATATACAAATCTTAACGTAAGATATTCTGTGTCATTTAGAGATATCAATATACTTTTTCTCAGTGGAGAATATAGACATCCCACTTGCACTGGCCAAAGTTCAGATATTGTGCTATCAAAAACGTCTTTGTATTGACAAACCAATCGATTTGCTTTTTGGTGGCCATCAACAGCGAATACTCTTGAGCAAGTCGCTGGATCACAGTTCTTCGTGAATCGTTAATGCTGTGTCCAGAAGCCAACGAAAAGTTTATAGAGATCATCTTTAATATTTAGGAAATAATCAGTACATTCATCAATATCGCGCTCTGACATTGGTATCGTAAAACAAGTTTCTTTAGTTGTCATGAAAATGAATTTTGTTATGTTAGTCAATAACCACACCATTTGAAAAGATTCATGATTATCATTCTTCAATTATTACAACGAAATATTTTCGTCTTACTCATTAACATCGTCGACTGTGCTAAGCAACATTTGTTGGTTTTCTCGTTCTCGAATCACTTTGATCTTTGAATTAAAAGCATTAGCATATCCTTCAAATGAGACGGTGCTGTGAACGAGTTGGTGCTCAAAGTCAATCAATAGGTCCTGATCGAATATTTGATTTCCATTTAGATAAAGAAACTTTCCGTTGTTGATAGATTCAACTGTAATAGTCTTCTTTTTATTTTGGATGTGGAAATTAGGAACTATCTCGACATTACAATCTTTACATTTGCAAGTTCCAATAACTATAGGCGAAAACAGAAGTTTAATAATAATCATTGATCGATATGTGTCATTACTTACGACCCTTATAAAGTTTCGTCAAAGACATAATAGTCTTTGAACGGTGAGAATATATTATATTTAATTGCTTTTTACATTGAATGCATTGTGTTGTATACAGTCTTAAATAAAAATTACATAGGCCAACAGATTCAGATGGTTTACTTTTTTGATAATTTGAATGATTTCATGTACATCAAATTCTTGAAACATCTCATAAAATGTCGATTGTGAAGAAATAAACTCGATTATTGTTTTAATCGTGTGGATTTCATAAGATTTGCAAAAATGGAAATTAATTATGTTCAAAATATGATGGTGTTTATTCGGGAGTTCGTTTGGTAATAAATTATTTAATATAATCACATATACTATTTCGTCCAAACGCATGGTTCTCATCATTAAAACCAAAGTGTGTTCTTAATCTGTGATCTCTACCAACATACGTGAGGATGTACAATAACAAGCTTTCTCCACTTAACTTGAATATCTTAAAGATCTTAAAGAAAAAAGCTTTTCAATTTCTCCTTTTAATGCTAGGCGTGACAGACGATTAATTAATAATCACAAGCTTTCAGTTGTTTTTCATAAAAATTTGACTATTGATGCTTAATAAAAACAAGTGAGAGTAAAAAGTTTTCCAAACGTTTCAAAGATATGTAAAAGAAAAAAGTCATTGTTCATGGCGATTTGTAAAATTCTGCTTTCTGATAGCAGATTCATTTAAGTTTTCTTCAATCTTCTTTTTGTTTGCCTACATATTTCAGATTCCCAAATATTTTCAGGAAGTTGAACTTTCCTTTTTGGACGTGCTCTTGTCGACTTAACGAGTGTTGTAACCTCTTCTACATCGTCTTGTTCATGTTGTCTATCTTCTTTTTCTTCGTCTTCTTCTTTGTCGTTACCAATATCTGATTGATGTTGGAATGTTTCTTGACGGTTGTTGTTTTCTTTGGTTTTAGTAGAATTATTAATTTTTGACACTTGTTCTGCTAAAATTTCAACATCATGCTGTAGATTTGTCACATCTTCACTTATGTCACAAGCTCGAGAGCGCTGAATATTCCATCGTACATGTTCAGTATAGAATAAATTTGATTTAATTATATTAATAAAATCATTTGATAGTGTCCAGCTGTTATTTGTAGAGACATTTTCATTTTGATGCGGATAAAATGATTGCATATATTCTTCGTAACTAAGGTTTACCTAAAAAAGAAAAATCTAAGATATTTATAATCCGAATATTATTTTCAAGAAATAAATTGAAATTTACGTGTTCTTGTAATACTTTTATGAAATAAAACTTTGATGCAATGGATTGAGAATCTGGACCTTTTCTAAAAATAAATGCAATATTCACCATACAGACGAAGAAAATTTAGTCAAGGTATTATCTACTTTAGCCATCCTTCGCGTAATATAAGTTTAGGAGTTGTTTGAAGGTTTCTTTTCGTTCGAGTAGGTTCAACCCATCAATTATTTGCATATTGTAGAAGATTTGCAGCAACTAATCGACTTACAACTTCTATTCGAATAGTCGCTTTGTTACAAACTTGAGTCAAATCCGTCTCCGTGAAGATAACAGATTTGGCATAGTTATTATGTTACGCATCGCCTTTTTTATTACTAGTTCTGTTGCTAGAACAAAGTCAATAGAGGAAAAATATCTACAAACAATATTATGTTTACACTTTTATTTGTAATTTGCTCTGTTGATACGGTAGAAGATTCTTCATAAATATTTTCATCTGCAAATGATTGTTCACTATTACATTGCTCTTCGAGAATAGCGCTTGATGAATTATCAATATCTCTTGAAATATCATAAACTTCTTATAATGTGAAAGTTCATAAAAACAAAAAGATATGAATGATGAAAAACAAAACAGGGTAGTTATTACCAATAGCATCAGTTTGGTTTGAATTGGTTGCAATTTTTATTGAATCACGGTGATTTGAACTGGTTTCTTCAACGAGACCAAAAAAAAACAAAGCTCAACGACTTTTATATTTATTCATTATATTAGAGACTGACTTGCTTGCCCAGCAACTGGTATCGATGACATTTTCTGTTTGAGATCTACTACTCGTTTTTTCTTTTCGTTCATTCAATAATAAGTTTTCGATGCTCTCGAATTGACAAGAAAATCCATATTCATTTATGACGTTAAAAATGTCACCTTCTACTTCTTCAATATTATTATTTTCCTTGTGTTTATGTATTACAGAATTCATCTGGTTTCTGTATTTCGAATATTGATTGACAAAAGCTGAGCAATTCTCAAAAATTTCCATGGATAACTTGGAAAGATTATTATTTGGTGGAATCGAACATTTTTCATAGTTGGAGCGGTACTCATCGATGTTTATATCATGCTTTAATAAATTATTTAAAAACTGTGTGCGAAATGGATTATCGGTCGCAGGTATTGACATTTTCATGTACGACTTCACAACCCTGCCACGCGAATCAAGTAAAAAGTAGTTGAATTTAAGCAAGTTGTCTTTCAATAGTTCTTGTAGTGCTCGTTCGCCTAAAGCGGGTCTATTTTTTATAATGCCTCTAGAAAAAATGCGCCAATAAAATGTGAATTACTCAATTGCAATTGAAGATGTTACATACGTCTGTCCGGTAACCGGATATTTGACACTAATAGCTGATAACGGGAAAATGTTATAATCAAGCATCATAATCAATTGTTTTAATATTTTGGGCTTGGAAGAAAACGACAACGAGGAAGCAATAATTGACTTATTCGAAAAATCATGATCAATAGTGAATAATTTGGTAGCAATATTTAGGTGGTGCTCATACCATTTCCACGCGGCGATCACTACATCTTTCTCAACGATAACCATTGGATCCATTGTTACTTGATTATTTTCCGTATATGGTAAATAAGTTTTGTCATATACATGATAATCTTTTTTTATAATATTTGCCACAGAATTCACAAAATTCTCATTGATAACTAAGTCGTGACTATCACCTTCAGTAAAGATTATTGTATCTTTTACACGTTCGAGTATCTCACTTGCATTATAATACAGTTGCATCAAGCATACTAAACGAGGAAACACTGTTCCAGTTGTTGCATAAAAGTCCGAGATTTGTTGTTGTTCATTAGATTTAAGATCTTGTGTTTCTATCAAATCAGCAATAAGGTTCCAGATAGTGAACATTGCAGAACTATCACATATAGTGTTTGTGTCTGTGTTTGTTCATCGTCACCTGACGATGTTGATATTTGCTGAAATGAAGCTGTTAAAGATAAACTTAAAGGTAATTCCTTTTTTCAAATTTGATGATCTTAATTACCACCGCAAAACTTTGTTCGTTCAGCATCTGACATTTGAAAAACAAAATGAACAGTACCGAATAAATGAATAATTACGCATAAATGATTTAACGATGGACTATATCTTGAATCTATGTTGACCTTGAAACTTAAAGTAACATTATGCGTAGAAATTAGAAAAAAGACATTATGACTCTTTTTACTCTTGAGGTCTTGAGTGAATAATTTTCGGAATAGACATGTACAAAATCTATTGTGCGACCATCAAATCTGGTATAATTAATCCAGTTCTTCATATTTTTCATCAGTTTTCCTCCAGTTGTAGCAATTGCGATTGTTAAACGTTTATCGTCTATCTGAATAATGGTAGTTCCCGTTGTTCTTGATGTGTTTTTAAATCTAAATGTTAAAAATAATATTTGCTTTATTGCATACTCCTTTTTTCCTGTTTTGCTGTTTTACTCCTCGAAACCACATAATATTATGCTTCTTTCGTGCTCCTTGGTGAAATCATTTACATTATAGAGACCATAGCTTTCTGCAATAAGATCTGCATCGTCATTCAACAAAATTTTATGATTTGATGCAAGATGTTGTCGTAAACCAATGTGATTGGTATCCGTAACAATTGATGATAGATTTGTCTCAGTTGGTTTACCGTTCACGATCACAGATTTCAAATATGAAGAAGGAAACATTTTTTCTGTTTTTGTAATTGCTTTCTCTACTTGTCGGAACGAATGCGTCTTACCACTTCCTTTAAAAAGAACAAAAAAATTGATAGAAAGCTAAAAGTTTGAGCTACACATTTAAAAACGAACAATAAGGAATAAAGACATTTTTGTATCAAAGATGAAATCTTAGTATTTTTTTTAACATAGATACGGTCAATTTTCTCAATAAAAAGAATAGATTGTGTTCGAAAGAGTGCATACTTCAATGAAAAAATAGCACAGTTATCATGTCTCAAAAAGGTTTCTTCTAAAAATGCTCCACAGCAATTTGTAACAAAATAAACAAAACAAGATCGTGATATAATAGTTAATGTTACAGACCAACAGCTAAAATAGGGATCCGAATCATTTCATCTTATTAAAAAGTATGTATAAACTGGAATGTGTGCTGATAAAATATTGGAAAGAAAATCATCGACAATGATATATACAAAAGAGAATCGAAGTGTATATGCGTTTTAAGGTAACAATAGTCAAAATAAGAGAATGTCAACTAGCTGGCATATTCAGTGAATAGTCATTATCAATAAAAAATCCTTAATTTTCATATTTGAAATAGTGCTGCTGTTGTATATAGTCTAGAATTTTCATTACTGCTAATGATGCCAGTTATTTGGCAAAAATTCATTAAACTAGTCTGACAAAGAGTAACTATGAAGTGTGTACATGAACTGAGATGGATATTGTTGTTTTCTAATAAAACATACTCAAATAAATTCAAATTTCTATTAGCATTCTTAGTTAGTTGAAATAATTGCAAAATCGATGCCGAATTATTATCTTGTAGTGAGAAGACTAAATCATTTTCTATTCTTTCAAATAATTAAATAATTCATCATTTACAAGTACAAAACGAAAAGTGTAAGAATCAATTGGTTTTCCTTTCTATTTTTATTCCATGTTGTTTTTCATTAGAACTTTAGTACTTTAGTACATGAAACATTCGAAAAAAATTCTTGCTGCTTTTTACATATATATCTGTTTCTCACATTTTTCTCTTTTAATATATGCCTATTCAAATATTTCTCTTTTCATCTCGATGTATTTTTCCGTTTATATTTTCTCTTTATCAGTTTTTATATATCTGTCTTCAATCTTACTGAGATCAATAGCTTAAATATAAATAAGCAAAAGCCAATGCTGAACTTTTGGTTCTCAAAGACACTGTACAAAGAGTCAACTTCCATATGTTTCGATGATTGATCTTTACTAAACTTGCGATTACTTCTTTAGAAAAGGAACAAATTTTAAATATTAAACTGGAAACGAGAATAGATATGTATATAAAAAACTTAATTTTGAAATAATGAATTTTTCTCATATGTATCTGACACTGTTTCTACACAGTGTATATCACAAGTCTGCAATGGACAATCATTATCTGCATATTTTGTCAAACTTTTCCCATGGCTGATGAAAACTCAACAATCTAAAAAGCATTTCTAATGCTAGCTAGATCAACATACTGCTTGAGCCTAACAACCACAAATATAATTGTACTGGTTGATGGTCAAAGCTAGCATAATGAGTGTAATATGAGCCTTGCGCAAAATGAGATAAAATACCCAATGACAAAAAAAGGATAAGTAAGGCTCAGAGATGCCGAAAAAATCACTTTTCCCAACCCGAGGGTTGACCCTACCGCAGCAGATAGAGCAATGGGTGGGTTTCGACCCAATTTTTATTTTTAATTCAGCGAATGGGTCATTGGGTTGGGTTGAGCAGGTCAACCCAACCCGCCGGGTAACCCATTGGGTTAACCCTGGTTATAATGCACTTCAATTCTCTGTTATGTGTAAAAATTTCACACTGCTGATAGAGGTCTGTAGCTATCAACAGATTTCTATTATATTTGTGAACGAANTAGTAATATTCCCTAATGATAGATCCAATAAACTTCAAATGTTAAAAAGGTTTTATTATCTTATTTTTGAACAAAATATGATCTCACTACACTGAAAAAATAGAACTTCTATTTGATCAGTTTCTAACTGACCGAAATATGTGAGTTCCACATTTTAGCCCAAACGGGGCTGCGCTGACAAGCTTTTAATTATGACTGGTGTGATGGATTGAAACTTGATGATAATGATATAAGAAGAACATATACAGAGTGAATCATACATTTAGTACACCCTGGGTTGCTTAATATGGGACTAAGTTTTGAGGTGTCAATGTTTATACTGGGGAAGTCAGCGTGAACGCAGACCTTTTAAGTGTTACTTTAAAGGTACGACGGAAAAAAATGACTTTTCTAATATGTCATCTATTAGCAGTTATTGGAGGAAGTGATATTTGGAAGGTGCGAAACAGAGATGCCAGATGGGTTGGGTCGTCACCGCTACCCACCGGGTTGGGTGACCCATGGGCCAACCCTAACCCAACCCAATGTAGTCCTCCGGTAATTTGAAAATTTTAAACCCTGACCCATCGGTCAAGCTTAACGTATGAACCCAATCGACCAACCCTCGGGTTACCCTTGGGTTAGCCCATGAATAATATATATTGTAAAATCATTCACAAAAAGGGTTTTTAATGCAATGTCGTTACAAAACAGCATAGAGCATGAATCATCTCTTCCATATTTATTTGATCGCATAATCCAACTTAAAACACAAGAAGCACATTGCATCTTCTTTTGCTCTCTGTTCTCTCTCTCTTGCAAACTCACTTTCTTCTCTCTTATCCTCTCCTATCTTCTCCTTTCGTCCCTTCTCTGTTTTAGGTCTATTGTTCTCCTTTGCCAATCGAGGTAGATTTCACTATCTTCTTTACTAGATTTTTGTTTTTGCCTTCTATATTTTTCGATTCCTTTTGTTCCGCATACATCTATAACTCTTTGTATGTAGAGCTTTGTTTGATGCATATATATAAAGGGATGCATATCTTCACTTTATTCTAAACTGATCTAATTACTTGTTATTTTCTCCTGATTTCTATTCTATTTTTTTTAATGTTAATAACCATGGAAGAAAAACGAAATATAGATGGCGTTCTTATGGTTCACCAAAAGTGTAAAAATGAATATTGTGAATACATCTTGAGCGATTTCCATTGCTTCTCAACATTAGTACACCACGCTGTTTGAGCTATTAGTTTTTATTTTAGTTTTCCACTAACTTAAAAAAACTAAAACGTTTGGAATTCATCACTTGTTAGTTCTCGTTTTGGGGATTATGTAGCAATGGTAGAACTAATATTTAGTCTGCCAAAAATAGAGAGCTAAGCATGTTTCAATAATAGATTTTGTCGTCGTATCATATATAGAATATATTAAGTATCGAGTATTCGATACGATAGAACATCAACAACTGCGCAATAGCGAACGAAAATCAATCACGAGGATTAGTCATAGTCGAAAATATGACGTAACAAATCAAAATAGAGATCATAACAACAGATAACACGAATAAACGTTTAGCGTCAGTGAGTGCCATCTACTGACGCTAACATCACTGTTGTTTTCAATATGTTAGAGAAATAAGCCACTATATAGATATCGATTTCCAATCAGTACAATTTTGTTTAATGGCACTACTTTTAAATGATATTTTAGATGCAATTAGTATTCTATTATATACAAAGGAAATGGATGATAACTCTTCAGTGTATTTTTATTGGTGAATTTATTCGCTCAAATGAAAATGATTTCGTTCACAAATATAATAGAAATCTGTTGATAGCTACAGACCTCTATCAGCAGTGTGAAATTTTTACACATAACAGAGAATTGAAGTGCATTATAACCAGGGTTAACCCAATGGGTTACCCGGTGGGTTGAGTTGACCTGCTCAACCCAACCCAATGACCCATTCGCTGAATTAAAAATAAAAATTGGGTTGAAACCCACCCATTGCTCTATCTGATGCGGTAGGGTCAACCCTCGGGTTGGGAAAAGTGATTTTTTCGGCATCTCTGGTGCGAAAATTGACGAAATTTTCAATATCAAAAGATTGTCAGGTTGTGCCTTCTCATTAGTTATTCGTCGCTTTGTTATGCATATAAACGCAACCGTACCGTAAACAACATCGTTGAACATACGAAACATAACTCTTTGAAATAATTAAATGGTACTAAATTTCATAATATGCGTTTGTAGAAAAAGAATGATAAATATACTGCATGATAGGTTTCAGGACGCGTTTTCACATTGTTTCCTGTATTGTATTACAAATCGGGACACATGTGAGACATTTTGAAAATATCATTCGAATCCTGTGTTCTTTAGTGCGTCCGCCATCTCGTTTGTTTTCAAAACCATTTATGTAAGTTGGGTGTGGCAGCTCTCGATTTGAAATCTTCGAAGTCTATTTGAAATATTAAAGACAATCAGATCTTCATATCTATCAGTGCCTTATTGTAGTCTCGTCTTCTATCATTGATTGACAATCTCTCTCGACGAATGCTTTCGAACAATAAATTGATGACAAGTCAGTTAGATAAAAGAAAACATGTATAATCATATATATGCCTACGGTGTACCAAAAGTAGCAAGGTTTTTTCCAATTTGTTCTATAATTGAATTTATAATTTTGATTATGGTGTGGTGCAAGGGTTGTCAGTGCCTTTGATCAGTTAACTTTCCGTGCAGAAAGATCGAACAACCCAGAAGCACCTAGTGAAATATTCAAAACAGTCGATGACTGTCGGACCATCTTGATATAATCTGTTTCGAGATTTTTTCGAACATTTCTAAAAACATGTGGTATTGAACTTAATGATGATCAATCATCTGCCCTTGATCTGCATAATGGTATAACACAGAACCAATCCCAAGGTCTAACACTCCTGCTACCAGATCCCGTAGGATACGCCAGAAAATATACTGAAAAGTCGTCATGCTGCAGGGAAAGACGGGAAATCGCTGGAACTAGAAAACGGTATTCCGATCAAAAATACGGCCGGACTTTTCCGGTGGATTCTAGCCAAGTTCCGGTCCTTTTTGGCAGGAATTCATCGCAAAT